TAAATTGATCGTTCTCACGTTCAACAAAAGCAAACTCTGTAAAACTTTAACAGATTATTGGGCATCGTTAGTACTAAATAATGGCAAAGTTTGATCTCGGTAGTTTTTACTATAGATGAGAAACTAAAACAGTACTATTTTGAAAAATTTTCTGATCATCTCGATTATTTAAATAAAAAATAACAACTTTTACAGAGAATCAAAACAAATCAATTTATCAATGCTTGTGTATTTGATTATCACCTTGATCGATAAGCAGTTTTAATCGTACTGATATTTTATCTATCATCTGTTGACATAAAGAAACGCTAAATTTGGCTCATTCCTTTTTAATATCCTTTTTCAATTGTTTAATATCACTGTATTCTTGTTCTCGTAATTTCTCTTTCAACATCCCCCAGACGTTTTCAATAGGCTGAACGTCTGCTAATTTTGCAGCACAATTGCCTGGTTCAATTAGACTGATCAAAATATGTTTAACAGCATGCAAGGCCAATTGCATTCTATGTTTACGATCTTGGTCGTCCTGAAAGATGACATTTCGTAAGTCAGAATGAACTAATATTGGACCTTATATATCTCTCTGATTGACACGTGCAGAAGGAGAGAAAAAGATTGCCCAAAGAAAATTTTCTGTTTAGACACATGTTATTTAAAGAAGCCTTGATTCACAACTTTTCTGTATTCTTAATATCAAATTTTAGTAATAGGAAATTTTCCAACATAGTACATGACAGTGCTGTTTCAGTTACTCATCTGTAGTAAAAGCTATCGAGATTAAACTTTGCCATTATTTAGTACTGACTGTGTCCCATAATCTGTCAAAGTTTTATAGAGTTAGCTTTTGTTAAACATGAGAACGATCAATTGGAAAATCGTTTCAGAACTTCTGGAACACTCTTTAAAGATAATAGATTATGCTAGCATAAATGGTGATGATTATTGTATCAAATAGTAGCCTGAATTCATGGGAACCCATGAGAGTACCATGAATTTTTGAAATTAGTTGACAACTGACATTTTTTATATATTTAACAAGAACAAGAGAACAAAGGCAACTTCATTTGCCGTTCTTCATTGCACCTTGGCGCATTCCAGTTGTACGTCGTGTTTGATTGAAATTTTGAAGTCAGACTTAGTGGCGCAACCAGAAAATCATGGATAAAAAGGCAGTGCATTTCAATCTTGCGAGAATCTTTGCAAAACAGTATCAATGGTGGCAATTATTACGTTTTTCTTTCGTCTGGTGAAACGGCGAACGCATTTTGTCAACGGATGATGCTCAGTGTAGCGAACTTTTGCTTACATCACTAGTCATGCTTCGTCTTCCTGGAATCTATGTATTTTAGATAGACATGCCAATTTGATATCATGGCATACTGTATGAAAATAAAGTCTTTTAAATTCTTCATGGAAATATGTGAATATTAAATAAAAATTTAGATCGTTCACCTCTATTATATATTACATAACATGTTAATAGAAAAAGGTAGTCTAATAATTAATGTTTGACAATACATTCAGTAAGCTACTCGTGAATTACACTGCAATTCTAGGTTTCAGTTTATCATCTGTACGTTTTTGTTTTAATTTTGCATAATTGTTTCAACAATTTCTATCTTATCCCAAGAAAAATCTGTTCTCCATAATAGAAGAGTAACTTAACACTTATGAAATGATTACCAATGAAAACAACAACCATTTTTTTTCCAAGTCAGTTACTGAAAATGTCAAAGTTGTTTAAAAATTTAGATGATTTTTTAACTTGACTGTTTTAATATTTTCTTCTTTTTTCAAATGTATCATATTGTAAGCGTATTGGTGTGAGTGTTCATCATTCCATCTGCAAGTGTCAACAACTAGAATTGTTAACTAAATAAAACACAAACAATAGATGGCAACTCTTGATGCACTACTATCAAATCCGAAAACAAGTATTTCAGTTTGTTGGTACATCTTCTTATTCTTCTCTTTTCCTTCATGTTCTTCCCCCCCCCTCACCTGTTTTCTTCTTCTTTCGTTTTGTCTAAATAGATGTTTAGTTGGCTTTACGAAATATATAAACGTGCTTATCGTATTTGAATACTTAGTAAATATCTTCTGATAACAACAGAAATCAAGTTTGACCTTGAATATTGATACATGAAAGCTAATCAAATAAAAACTATATTGTTTCAAGTATTATTCTATGTTTCTATGTTATAAAATATAAGATCAAAGACAAGATGTACTGCAATACTGAAAGAAATTTAGTTAAATTTCATCAGAATAATATATTTTAAAAATATCTCAAAAGTATAACAGAAAGAAGCTAATGCGTAAATATTTGTAAGTTTTTTTTTTCGTTTTAAAATTGTGTTTCTGGTCGATTTTTGAGATATTCAGCAATTTTTGGTTGTTTCTCGACTTCGGCACGATTATGTTTTAACCATGGATGACTATCCAAAGACTTTGCATCTAATTGAAGCATATTGTATCCCACTTCATGAAAAAATAAATCTATCCATGTTAAATGATTACCAACAAAGAATGGACCACCGTTACCATATAATTTACCTAATAATTCAAGATTTTGTAAATGTTTGGGTAATTCTTCTGCAAGGAATTTCTTTAAAAGTTCTTGCTTTTTGGTTTCATCACTTTCAAAACGAGCCGGGACAAACTTTAATAATAAATCATTAACTGTATCAGCCACAGCATCGACTTTAGCTTGTTCAAAATTATCTTTACCAGCTAAATGAAATTGTTTAGCAAGAAAACGAGCAATTGACAATGATTGTGGTAATTTTGTTCCGTCGAATTCGAGAACAGGCATTTGACCTAAAGGCATTTCATTTTTACGTGATGGCCATTCACTACCTTCATAACGAATATCTTCATATTTTTGACCAGCAGCAACAAATATTAACCGCGATACTTCGCCACGACCACGTCCATTGAAATAATGGAGTTTATATGTCGACATAGAGAATAGTTATATATTAGTTTGACTATGAAAGAAAAGAACAAAGTGAATAAGTACGACGTGTCGAAGGATATTTATATGAGAGAAAATAAAGTACGGCACATGCGTACGTGGTTTATTATTTTTTGCTTTGTCATCGTGCACAAAGGCCTGGAGAAAAGAAGAAAAAAAATACTGATGATGGTGCGCCTTTTTATTGACACGATAAAACAACTCCATAAGGACATAATGATGATGTTTTTTGTTGCTAAAGTATATAAAACGAATTTCAGATCATTCATTTAGCAAATAAATCAATCTTTTGATTTTAAACAAAGGTCGAACGAATCAAAATAGTGACGTGGATTTTCTATAGGTTTTAATTGACCTAAAATTTCAACAAATAAGAATAAAAGATAATGCTAACATAAATGATGATGATCATTGTGCAGAATGTTCGACTGATATTCATCACACCACATCAGAGCATGATGAACTTTTTTATGAATTGAGAACAGATGTTTTTTTTTTAATTTTACAAGAACCAGAAAAACAACATTTCTATTATTGCTGTTTATCAGATTTTCACGCATTCTAGTTGAACTTCGTTGCTGCTTGTAACTTTAAAGTCCTGCATCTCCTCCTCAACATAAATATATCTTAGAGAATCATGTAAACTACACATGATGGAATGGCGAATGAAAAGAAAGTCTCAACTCTTTTTATCTCTGTTTTTGTGCTGGAATTTAGTTTTTTTTACAGAAAGTATGGGTATGTTAAATCAGAATTGAGATGTATTACCTTTACTAATTAGGTAAACGTTCTATCTCAGATCAGCCTAAACCAAGCTAGGATTCTCACATTGGACTAGTCTACTGTTGAATCGGAAAAGAAATTGTCGTTAAAACTTCCTGTAGTCTCTGGATAGATGTTAGATTCTAATTCTTGTTGGCGAACTTCATTGAAACAATGACATATAAGGCATTAGAATCATCATTGAAGAAACTAAATTCAGGCTGAAATATTATCAATAGTTTTCAATGCAAGCTGTTTTATATAGAAAAATATCTATAGGTGTCTGAGTCGAAAATTAGTTTCATCACTGATGATTCTAATACCTGATGTACTATTATTTCGACAAAGTTCGTCGAGAAGAATTAGAATCTAACATCTATCTAGAGATTAATGGAAGTTTGTGGGAAAAACGTCTTTTCCAATTCGACACTAGCATATTATTATATAAACTATTAACAGAACAAGGTATTCTAAGAATTTTCGTTTAAGAATACATTTAGTGACCTACGTTTGCAATACTCTGCAACTATAGGTTTGTGTTCATCATCTGTACTTTTTTGTTTTCATTTTGGATAATCGTTCAAACAGTTGTCATCTTATCATTAAAAAAATATAGACTTTTTAACAGAAGAGTAACTTCGCACCTGTCAAATAATTATGAATAAAAACAAAACAACCCTCAATATCTAGTCATTCACCGAAAATATCAAGGTTTTCTGCACCAGTTAGATTATTCTTTTCTAGCTCGAAAGTTTTAATATGTTCGTCTTGTGAAATCTATCAAGTTATAAACGTGCTGGTACGAGTTTTATAATTTCATTTGTTACACTGTCGACAACTAGAATTGTTTACTTAAGAAAACACAAACAATACATGGCGACTCTTGATGTATAGTACTATCAAATTCGAAAATAAGTGTTGCAATTTGATGATCTATCTGCTTCTTATTTTTTTCCTTCTTTCTTTTTGTTTACATCGATGCACAGTCGGATGTATAAAGGCATTTGGTAAACATCTTCTGAAAAGAAAGAAAATCAAGCTTGACATTCAGTCTCGATCGATGTCAGCCAATCAAATAAAAATTATATTCTCTTATGTATTATTTTATGTTATATGACACAAGATCAGATACAAGATGTAGCACAATAATGAAAGATATTCAGTTAAATTTCATCTCGAATAATATATTTTAAAAATATCTCAAAAAGAATAACAGAAAAAAAGCTAATGCGTAAATATGTGTAAGTTTTTCTTTTTCGTTTTAAAATTGTGTTTCTGGTCGATTTTTGAGATATTCAGCAATTTTTGGTTGTTTCTCGACTTCGGCACGATTATGTTTTAACCATGGATGACTATCCAAAGACTTTGCATCTAATTGGAGCATGTTATATCCTATTTCATAAAAGAATAAATCTACCCATGTTAAATGATTGCCAACAAAGAATGGACCACCATTACCATATAATTTACCTAATACTTCAAGATTTTGTAAATGCTTGGGTAATTCTTCTGCAAGAAATTTCTTTATAAGTTCTTCCTTTTTGGTCTCATCACTTTCAAAACGAGCTGGGACAAACTTTAATAATAAATCATTAACTGTATCAGCCACAGCATCGACTTTAGCTTGTTCAAAATTATCTCTACCAGCTAATTGAAATTGTTTAGCTAGAAAACGAGCAATTGATAATGATTGTGGTAATTTTGTTCCATCAAATTCGAGAACAGGAATTTGACCTAAAGGCATTTCACTTTTATGTGATGGCCATTGATCACGTTCATAACGAATATCTTCATATTTTTGACCAGCAGCAGCAAATATTAAACGCGATACTTCGGCACGGCCACGTGCATTGAAATAATAGAGTTTATATGTCGACATAGTTAATAATTGTGTAAATGTTTGACTGTGAAAACGAGAGGAAAGTGAAGAAGTGTAGTTTGATGAAGGTTATTTATATGAGAGAAAAGAAACTATGGCACACACATACATGCGTAGCTAATTTTTCTTTTTTTGCTTCGTCATCATGTACATGTGCCTAGAACGAACGAGAAGAAAAAGACTAATGACAAGGCATATTTGTGTCTATGACAAAAAAACACATCTGCATTCATATACAAATGAGATTTCTTTTTTTGGTTTATTGATAAAATGAACTTTAGATGCTTCATTTCACAAATAAAAAATTTTTTTAATTTTAAACAAAGATAGAATGAATCGAAATATTCTCATTCATTTGGATATGATTTTAGTCGGCATGAATTCCAATAGTCAACTGAATAGATTATTCGACATTGAGAATGATGATCTTCATGGCATTAACTTGCTCGGCCGAGTCATAATAGCTAATTAACATTAGATGAATGTTTTCATCAGTTGAGCTCTAGAATTTTTATATATTTAACAAGGACAAGGACGATAGAAATTTTCTTCTTTTTCATGACAGTTTCTTGCACTTCCGTTGTTTTTCAGCATGTTTCTATTTTTAGAAACAAGTTCTAATGTTATATTATTCTGTTTTTTAAAATATCGACAGGTTAGAAAAAGGAAAAACTTGACATGATGAAGTATAGAAGTAGAATGAAATTTTTGAAATATCTAGGCTCCTCTTCTTCTTCTTAAAGTGATCTTTCTTTCTGTCATAGATAAATTTTTCGTCTAATAATCTTCAAATGTAACGGCAAAACTAAGCAACTTTGCTTCTATAATACATTTTAAAAAATTTTGTCAGAAAAGATTAATCGATAAATAATTTGATTATTATGCAGTTTTCGATAGATTCTTGAGATATCCTTCAATTGTCAGTTGTTTTTAAGCTTTTTAGACGATTTTATTTGAACCATGGATAATTATTTTAAAAAAAAGCATCTAATCTAAGAAAAATGTATTTTATAACAAAGAAGAGTAAATCTACTTATTTTGAATTGCTACATAATAAATAAGGACCATGGTTAACATATATTTTACCTAAAACATCAAAATTTTGTAAATGTTTAGGCAATTTGTCAGGAAAAGAAATTTTCGTAAGTTCTTGTCTGTTGTTTTAACTGTATCTTATTTCACACGAACCGATATCTATTCCTTTATTAAACCATTAGTTGCCTATATATCTGTTTATAACGAATATTTTTAAATTTTTGACTCGAATGAATCACAATGTAACATGAAACTTTCACACGAAGAGAAATCATTGCATACATTTTACTCTTTTTATTTATTTTTTATCCATTATTATTGACGAAGACTTCGAAGAAAAGCAAAATAAAAAGAACTGCTGCTATTGCATGTTTATCCTCAAAGTAATGCACCTAAGGATCCGAACAGTAGAATACAGTTTGTTTTTATGTAAAACAAAATGCATGTAGTTTATCTTACAAAAACTGAATTCTTGAAGTTCACACACCGTCAAAACAAAAACAAACTGATAATTCAGTTCTTTTTTTTAATTCGTGCAATAGACCGATAATAATCTAATGATCACGACATAACTAATTAGTAAGTCAGTATTGTTCAATGAGGCTATATAAGTACATTCTCATATACTTATGTTCATGGCAATAGAAATAAAGATCACTTACGAGAGAACTATCCCAGCTGACACTGACTATTTGAGCTCATGTAAGATCCCGATGAGACTCGCTAAAGTCTAAATGTTTTCGTTCCTACAGATCTTTGACACTGATTTATTACCTTTTTATAGGATTATTGGATTAGTCTTAGGTACTTCTTGAATAATCGAATCACGGAGTTCCAATCTAAAATTTTACCTATAGATAGATCTACTGACGTTTAGAATATTCTGACAGTTTAAGCCGAAAAGAATGTTGTTTTTTGTCAACATATTTAATTTCCAAAAATTACTTCGTTGCCACAAAAATGAAGTTCACTTGAAAATTCAATAATTCGATTATCACTCAGTGGCAAAGGTTTGTCGGAACGAAACCCTTTAGATTTTTACTAGTCTCAATGAGATCTGATTGTGAGTCCAATATGAGGCCAAACCACAGGTCTCAGTTGATGCGGCTTCCTCAATAAGAATTATGAAAATCGTCTACTTTTCCTCATATCACACTTCAAATCACATAAATAACAAAAATAAGTAGTACACAAATCTGATATCTACATATTCTACTCATATATGATTTCAATTTTTATGTATTTATTATTTTTCATGACATATACATATAGGAGTTGATGGTTAGCTTTGAAAGTATTGCATATCAATTCACATATATAAAAATAGTAAGGTCTTAAAGTGAAAAAAAGAACAAGGAGATAATATTAAAACGGTTTTACTCATTTGCAAAAGAAAGAATCTGATGACTAGAGCTCGTCGGTTTGATTCTGAGCTGATACAAGTTCGAGATCTTTGGACTCGATAAAAACTACTAACGGCCCGCGTGAGATCCGAGATGATGGTGCCCCTCCCAAAATGAAGTGGGCTTTCCTAGAGCTTTAATATCACTTCTCCCAAAGTAAAAAGCTCGATAAAACACTGCTGGTGACAAGAATGTCAAGCAAGACGTCAATGCAACGGAAAACATTTCATAAGAAATAATTAAGCTGACAGTTGTACGTACTTCTTAGCCTCAACTCCTTATCGTTCATTGCTCATTCACGTACACACCTGAAGAAACTCTCAAGTGAATATATGTACTAAAAACAATGCATTATTTAAAGATAAATTTTTCCAACCTCTATGTTTGAGAATACTTCTTCATATCCAAGAATTGCAGGACACTCTAATTATGCTATACTGTTTAAATGAAATCGTTATTTATAATTAAAGTTATGCATATCACACGAAAAAAGAACTATTTAGCATATGACCAAAATTCTCATTTCAATTATTCAAACTTTCATCATTGTTGTATTTAGTTTCCTCATTTATATGTCCTGTTAGTTGTTAAAATTTGATTCATTTTTAAACTATTACATAAAGAAAAGCGAACATTAACCTGAAATGGCTTCAAAAATATTCGATATTCAACAAAAGTCACAAGGATACAAAGAAAGAGGTCAGTTGAAATTTTGTTCTAATAATATATTTTAGAAAAAAATCTTATACAATAAAATCTATAAATTTTTTTTTGTCAATTTTGTTTGTTGTTTAAAATGTTGATTTTGATCGATTCTTGAGATATTCTGCAATTCTTGGTTGTTTTTCAACTTCAGCACGATTTTGTTTTAACCATGAATAATTGTTTAAACAATTTCCATCCACATAAAGAAAAGTCTCTATTATATCATAGAAATATAAATCTGCCCATGTTAAATGATTATCAACAAAGAACGGACCACCATTACTATATAATTTACCTAAAACATCAAGATTTTTTAAATGTTTGGGTAATTGATCAGCAAAGAATTTTCCCATAAGTTCTTTCTTCTTCATTTCATCTTCTTGTCGACGAATTGGCATAAATACCATCATTGCATCACTAATTGTATCAACCACAGCATCAACTTTAGCTTGTTCAAAATTATCTCTACCAGCTAAATGAAATTGTTTAGCAAGAAAACGAGCAATTGATTTCGATTGCGGTAATTTCGTTCCATTATATTCAAGAACAGGCACTTGACCTAAAGGCATTTCATTCTTATGTGATGACCATTCATTTCGTTCATAACGAACATCTTCAAATTTTTGACCAGCAGCAGCAAATATTAAACGAGAAATTTCAGCACGAGCCCGAACATTAAAATAAAAAAGTTTGTATATTGACATGAATGATATTTGAAATAAATGTAGGACAATCTATCAAAGAAAAGATAAATAAGTGAATGCTCTATATCAGCGTTTTTAACAGGAATTCGAAACAAAGTACAAATCCATAGTTTACCTATGCTTTTTCCATGTTTTTCAACGTTTTTCCAGCAAAAATCAAAGTACTTTTTTAAAATCGTAAGTACCTCGGGTACTTTGCTTTTGCTTAGGGTACTTATTGTTAAAAACACTGCTCTATATATATCGATCAGATCGATCGATTTTAGTTTTACTATTCTTCAACCAATCATTATGAAGAAACTCAATTAAGTAGATTAATCAAAAAATTTTTTTATTATTAATTAATTTTTTTCATAAAATTCTTTATTAATTTGCTCGATCGTTTTAATATCGAGAACAATTATGCTCTTCTATGGCAGGCTTCAAACTAATCAAATCAACTGTTAGCTAGTCGATATGAATCATTGATCATTTTATTCTAACTAGACAAGTAATAGATGATGAGATGATATATTTTCTTTGTGTTTCCAATTGTACAATCATATTTATTCGGTTGTTATTATGATTATAATCAACCATTAGTCTTAACAGAGCAATTACTTATTGGCGTATACACACATGTTTTACTTATTGGTGCAATTATTGTTAAGAATCTTAGTGTAAACATAATTCAACATCCATAGAATGGTTTAAATGCTCTTCAGAGTATGCGAGATTATCGTACACGTGATTCGAATAAATTAAAAGTCATTCCATCACTTGTTGGCGATGATGCTGAATGGAAAGAACCCATACAAAATTCAGAAACTCAAACGAAATTTATTATGTCTCTTATTGAATTTGCCAAATCTCAAGTAATAAGTATAAAAATTGTTTTAGTTTCAGTTTTTATTTATAAATAAAATTGAATAGGACACTGATGGTCTCGATTTTGATTGGGAATATTCATGTAGTGATTACAAATCTTTATATAATCAATTTATTAAAGAACTTCATCTAGCTGTACAGGAAACATTTGGAGATGGATTTCTTTTAACAACAGCTGTTGGTGCAGGCAAAAATACAATTGATGATTGTTATGAGATTGAACCATTAGGTCAATTACTTGATCTAATTCATCTTATGACTTATAATTATCATAGTAAGGTTTTTTTTTTAATTAATTAAAAACTTTTTCTATTCATTTGACTTTAGGCATTTATGATAAGCAAACAGGTTATAGTTCATCCATTTATCCAAAAAGTATTGAAAAAGGTGAAGCACAACAATTTAATACAGAATGGAGTGCTGCTTATCTAATTGAATAAGGTGTACCAAAACATAAAATTCTTATCGGACTCGTAGGACTTGATCATACATTTCAATTAAATGATTCACATAGTCATGATTTTGCAGCACCTGTTATTGATGTTGGTTATGGTAGTGGATGAATGACATTGACTGAATTTTGTCTACTGATAAAAACTGCTGAATCATATTGGGATGATGAAGCTAAAGTTAATTATACATATTATAATGATCAATGGACTAATGTTGGAGATGTTAGAGCGGCAGCAAAAAAAGCTTTATTTGTTAAAGCAAATAATTATGGAGGTGCATTTACTTTTGTAAGTTTTTGTATAACAAATGAATAGAGAAGTGTTCTCAAAATGAGTCCAGTACTTTTCGTACAATACAAATACGTGTTGAAATGATAATTTTTTATCAGCTGATGAGAGATTTTCTAATATTTTTATACATTCATAAACAAAAAAGCTGTTGATGTAATCCTTACTGGATTACAATGTGAAATACAGTGCAGACGATATTGTTTTAATTTAAACTAATTGATTTTGAATGATATATTTAGGATCTTCATCTCGATGATCCAACTGATGTTTGTCATCATGGAGAAACTTTTCCTATTCATCGTACAGTTGCTCGGTATGTACAATAATTGTGATAGTATTTTAATTTTTTTTGTATAAACAATTGCTTTTGCGTTCTTGTGATAAAATATTTGAAAGTATTTTTAACTAACCCGAATAAATGAAAACTAACGCGTAATTTTGATATTAATCAACAAGATATTTTTTTTATCTTAATACATGAACGAATATGTCGTCGATATTTGGTTATCTATGCATTGCATTTTATTTTTTAACTTTATGCATAATGACTATTGATACACAATCAATAAATGAAGAAAATACTGTTGAATCTATTGTTAATAATTTCTCAAATAATGATAATGAACAATTTCTCGAAGTACTTGCAAATTATCGTCATCGTTTTCAACATTCAATAAATTTTTAAAAAATTCGATGCACACTTAAATATCGATATAATAAAGCTTATTGTGAATTTTGTGATTTAGTTGTACCAGTGGTAAGAAGAGATTTACTTAGAACAAAGATTTTTCTACATATGTATGTATCTCTTTGGTTCGATTACTTATTGAAGCAAATCAAATAGCTCATATTGAAAATGTTGTTAATGGATTTTGTAAAGAATTTAAATTAATCAATATCGATGTTTATATTGGTGCTGTTCATGAATATAAAGTAAATTCTATCTTACAAAAAAAAAAATAATTATTTTTAATTAAATAGGATGTAGTCATTGAAGTTATATCTTTATCGAGTTATAATAATAAACAACTTTGTTTATTAGTATTTGATTGTTATAAAGGATTTGATTATCCAATTTTAACATGGAATGTTACATTTCCTTCCAACAAACCAAAACTATTACCACAACCACCACGACCGTCAAAAGTAAATTACCAATAAGCATTATATCGTTTAAGAATAAGTCTTATAACATCATGTTCACTATCAAGTAATTTGCTTGTTCGTGTTACATGATGCCATGCATAAGTTGTTTTGTCATATGACGATGCATCAAGAAAAAGTTCATTAAGATCGATATGATCATTCGATGAGATGCTTTTATTGATATTAGTTTGAATATAACAACAAATTGTAGTTTCAAGCCAAGTATTGTTCGTATTTTTTGGATCATCTAATAAGAAAAAAAAAGCATTTTGAAATTAATTGTAGCTATTGCTTTTTCAACATCATCCTGCTAGTTTCTTTCAATGTTATATGAACAATATAGAAATGAGTCCTACGATATAAGCAGTCCTAACAAATGTTAAATGTTCGATAATTTCATTGATTTTTGTCTCATTCTGCTTCTTCTTCTTCTTTGTATTGAAATCAATTCATGTTTGATAAATATTTAAAAGAAATCTTTTAAGAGTTTTCTTAATTGCATCTGTATTTGTTCCAGTTGTCCATGTTGATGGTAAACGATAATAAGAATTGTTTTTTGATTTTTCCATCATATATTTAAATATTTCTTTTCCCGCTATCGTGTCATTCGTACTACACATTATCACAAGATGAGTTTGATAATTAACTGTCCAGCGTTTTAATTCACCTCGTCCACATGAACCTGTTCGACCAAGAGGATTTAATGGATAATCTTTCGTATCAATTCGATAGGAATCAATCGGATTTGCTGTATGTCGATCGACATTATAATTTATATCGAAAGTATTTCACATAAAATTTGATGAAATTATCTCTGGATTGATTTCATTGTTGTGATTGAGTAATGATAGATCTGGTTAATAAGATGGATTATAACTAAACAAAAACGAAATTGCGATTGTTATAATGATTTGTGAGTTTTTTTTTCTGAATGCTCATAGCTACAGGAAATCGAATTGAAGAAATAGTTGCGAGAAAAACAAACTGAATACTTTGATAAATCTACTGTCCATGGAACTTGTTCATCATCTCTTTGTTGATGTTTAGTAGATGTTCCTGGATAAAATCCTTTAAGACAAAATCGATGAATAGGTAGAAAAAATTCTTTAATCGATGGACGATTCAACATCTATCAAACTAGAACTATTGAAATATTAAATTTTAATTTTATATACTTGTTGTCGACGACGATGTTGTCCATATGTATTAGCAATGATATGTTGATATGTAGATAAAAGTTTTTCTTCATTAAAGAGAATTTTCTCTTCTGATGTTAATTTTGGTTGCCATTGTTTAATCTTTTTCTTTTTTGATTGCAATTTTAATAATTGTTGACCATATGAAAACTTATCAAATGCATTCATACGATAATGAGAGAAAAAAAACAAAATTGTTAAGCGCTTTGTATGTATATTTGATTTTATCCTGGTTCACCTACGTTCACTGTTGTACATTTGTCTAATATTCATGTTGATTTTGCTTATACATCTGAATCACAAGGTGATTGTTCTCAACCTTTATGTTGCCGAGGGGGGCAACTTAGTGAGTGTTTTAGATAGGTTGAAATTCTGATAATGATTTCGTTTCAGCTCTCGGTCATACAGGTGCTGGTTTTTGGTAAGTCTTTGACAAAAATAAAGGTTAGATTATTGATAAAATTATATTGTTATTTAGGGGTGATTTACGTAGTTGTGATATTCCATATTGGACAGCAGAAACGATACTTTGATATGCTTCAGAATTAGAAAAAGTAATTGTAAATTTTATCTGAATAAAAAACATCGTTTTGTATAGGTTGATTTTATTTATTATACCGGTGATTTTCCACCTCATAATATTTGAAATCAATCTCATGAACAACAACTTTATTCACTTAATACTATTAATCATTTATTAGCTAAAACATTTCCTAATAAAACATTTTATTCAGCAATTGGTAATCATGAATCAGGTGAAGTTTTATTTCGAATAAAAATTTTGATTTAGTTTTTATCTGTTCTCTATTATGTTTAGTTCCATGCAATCTTTTCCCAACACCGAATATTCGCTCGGATAATATTTCATGGTTATATCAAGTTCTAGCAGATCGTTGGATTAAACTTGGTTTACCGATTGATACACGTGAAAATATTGAACGTGGAGGTTTTTATACAACAGTAGTACGACCTGGTCTACGCTTAATTTCATTTAACATGAACTATTGCTCACCGGAGAATGTTTGGTTATTTATTAATTCAACTGATCCACTTGATCAACTTCAATGGGTAAATTTATTTGAGAGAGAGAAACACTAGTAGAATATCTTAAATTTATAGATGATTCAATGGTTACAATATGCTGAAGATCATGGAGAAAAAGTTCATGTCATCGGACATATTCCATCAAAACATTGTTTAGCATCGTTTAGTTGAAATTTTAATAAAATTGTTAATCGGTAAGAATTTCAAAAAGACAAATCTTTATCTTTTCTAAAGTTTCTATTTATTAGATATGTGAAATACAATTGCCGGTCAATTTTATGCACATACATATAATGATGAAGTTGTTATAAATTATGATGAAGTTGATCAACAACTACCAGTTTCAATGGTTCATACTATTTATTTTTATTGTCATTCTTGGAAAAATTCTCAACTTGTCTTTTTAAGGATATATAACACTATCATTGACAACTTTTTCTTATCTTAATCCAGGTTATCGTGTTTATCCAATCGATGGTAATTATCATGATAGTTCATATTGGGTACTTGATCATCATACTGTAATTATGAATTTAACAGCAACAAATATGCATAATAGAACAATTTTTATTGATGAATATGATGCTCGAGATGCATATCAAATGGAAAATTTATTTCCAAATGATTGGCATAATCTAATTGAAAGATTAAAAAATGATATTGATGGCCAATTAATGGGTTTAGTCTATCAATATTATACAGAATCATATGCAGATGGTCGTCAATGCAATCATAATTGTCGTCGAGGATTTTTATGTGATTTTATAACAGCTCGATTAGAAGATCCTCATGCATGCGATTCACTTCCTAATTAATTTGTCTTTCAGCATTTTTCTATTCTAAACCTTTTGTAAATGAGAAATTTATGCAGAGAATACTTTTTGTTTATTTTTTATTTTATTTTAATAAGAGTATCAAAGATGTCAAAGGGAAGATTTCGTTTCTATGATTGATAATAACATGAAGAATACTCTCTAATTAAAATGCTAGATCAGCTGAAGATAAAAATGTACCGAATGCAATACTTTTGCTTTTACCTTTTTGATCTAAGCCGTTGCACTTTTTGTTTTAACGATAGATGAATATTCGGCGGATCTATGAATGAGGGATTTACTAGTAAATAAAGAACTAACCATAACCTATGGTAGTATCAGTCATTTTCCTCAACATTTGGAACATTCTAACAATGCACAAGCACTTCATTGGTTTTTTAGCAAAATAATACCGATGAGTGGTGTAAATTTTAAGATTGACCTGTTCTACTCGTAGATTGGATTTGTTATCTTTGTTGAAGTCGAAAACAGCGTGGATCATTTTTTTTTATTAGGGCGCATGTGGACATACGTGTCAGTTAAAAATTTCGAAAGGTAGATACATCGGAAATGACAGTAAGAATCTCCAACACCTTTAACCTGATGTTTGTTTTCGATATTTTTAGTTTCCGCGTTTAGACTGATTTGTCGAAAAATGATTGTCCTTTGTTCAATACATTTTATTTACATTTACATATAGCTACTCTTTTTTTGTTTCGGTAACTTACGGGTAAAATCAGAATTTCCTTGCTCAATATGCTGTAAGTAAGTTTCCCATCAAATGTAAAGCTTTCTTTTTTGTTCGGTTAAATCAATTTTTGTGTTAGTCATGCTTAGTCTTTTCAATGTTGTCTTCTTTCTTTGACAAACTTTTAAATCATCAGTATATGAGCCAGTGAACGGCTTGAGCCAGGTGTTATAAAATAAAACAAAACTAAGTAAATCATTCCTTTTGGTGATTGAATCCATTAAAAATTAACTCGGTCGATGAATTTCTGCCACTTTTACAGAGGTCTTGCATTGATATGCAAGTTAAACTACACGTCATTGTTCATATACCAATTAGATCTTGCTGATATAAGCTAAGTTAAAATTCAATAAATCTCTAAAGCCATTTCGATTCACATTATCTTTATCAGTTTCTCTTATATGCAAATGATAGTGTGATTTCTGACCTATTAGTAAAATATTCAATCTTCTTGTTAATTGCAACGGTAAAGAAAAATTCATAAAAGCAAAGAATTGCACGTATCACCAATAGCATTTTGCTTTAGAAACTAATAATTAAAATGAAAACAGCAATAAAAGTTAGGCGCCACTCTCTTTGCTCATATGTAAGACAGCTGATTGTAAATAATGAATCATCTAGATAATTAATCGATCAATCGATATCGTTGTTTAGAAACCTGTTGATACGCGATAATAGAGTTCTCTCAACAATAAATTTTACAATGGCTATTTTTCAGCCCTGTTTCGACTTCGATTAGCTGATCAGTTGAAATTTGACTTTTCCATTGTACAGCGATAAAAAAGATTTTTACAAAACGTTAAGATTGTTTCAACCAACTCAGTCCAGATTGAATCGTCTAAACGATTGTACAATTTTAGAAGACATGGATTTTGTTTATTTCTTCTTAGACAAAGCCATCGAAAATTATTATTTTTTATCGCAATGAACTCGAGAACTGAAAATCAGAAATAGGTCACTCGAAACTGAATTGCAAGAATCGATATTGTTTTTTTCTAAACTTCTCAAGCATCTTCCGTTTGCTCCTAAGTAACGCCCGAAGAAGACAAATCTTTGAAAACATAATTTTGTTTTTAAGTTCCAGATAAAATGAAGATAGCAAGACAAGTTATCTGATATTGTCTTTGCTAAGTTGCATGGCAGCTGAGAATACAGTTGATAATAGATAATGAAACGATCAATCGATATCATATTTTAGCAACAAGTTGATAGGCTTTGTTAAAGTTCTCATAATGACGAATTTAACGATGTCTATTTCTCAATTTCCTTATTATTTGGGTCATCTAATCGATGGCAACAGAAACTTTCTGATTTACTAAGACAAAGAAAGCCTGATTCGAGCAAACCATCAATATCTTTCTATGAAAAATCATTTGATGGTAAATCGTAGAGCCGATTATTCGTTTTTCCAAGATTGCTATTGTTGAAATACTCGACATCGACACTCATGCTTCGCACTGCATTTCGTAGTCCAGTGAAACTCGAATACCATCTAGTTTAAGAATGAGTATTGCAACTATTGTCTCACTTTTACTTATCTGACTGTTTATTAACTTGTCTCATTTTGAAAATGGTCTATTTAAAGTTCATCCATCATCGATGGTTATCGTTGTAATTAGGCCATCTGGTGCCGACGATTCCACCGTCTCTTCCCTATTCTCCACAAGCTTCGTAGAACCTTCCCATTGACCATAAGCAGAATGACGCTGGTGATGGAACTTGTTAATGTTGCTGTGTGGACTTCGATAGTGTTGGTTATGCGACCAATAATCATATCACCTATAATACTCAGACCAAGACCGTCGCTCACGCCAATCACATATTTGGTAACTGAAGAAAAAAAGATACAAAAGCGTTATCATAGGTGAACTTATTCTATATGAAAAGGAAAAATCCTTTTATTTTTCGGTAAAAGATCACTAGTTTCGATAGTCAATAGTAATATTAAATCTTCCAAAGTAGTATAAATTTTTTTTTCGATGAATCCAAAAGAAAAAAATATTCTTGAAACGATTTGAATAGACTAACTATCTCAAAACAATTGTTATCAATCATTCTAAGTTTTTTACTTCGAATCAAGTAAAAGTGTTCGAAAAAAATCTATTTTTCGATGTATTCGTCTAATCTTGTTCGTAGCATAGCTAAAAAATTAATTAACTATGAGATATTGGCTGTTCTTTGTCCGAAAACTCATGAACATTTTCTAATAGGAATGGTGGGAAGCTAACGAAAGAAATAGCTGATTTCTGGTTTTTTGTTGTTAAAAGACAATGGGTTTGTCTTTTCCCTAGTTGTCACATCTTTTTCTTGAACAGTCAAAAATTAAAGATGTTTTCTATTAGAGATTTTCAAAGTTTTCTCAACTCTTTCACATATTGTACCAAAAATCACATTGGTATAGCTTGCCAAAACTCATTTTGACAAAGTCCGGTAAGTCTTTAAGCGTTCACAAGCATATTTTAGATGTGCTGGAAAATGTCTTGGGAAGTTAAAGACTATCAAAGTATTTAATTTTGATTTTTTTAATTATTATACAACGTTTGAAATATTTTGTGACCGTTATGGCGAAGTGAACCCGTTGTCACCTAAGAAAAATGAAATATCTTATTCTGGCAAAGCAGAAGAAAGTTGTATCAGAGCATATTAAAGCATGACTATAACAATGTGGCAATATAAACACCATTTTGAAATAGTTGACTCAGAACAAGGCTATTAAAGGAAAAGGATGTGCTCATTTTGTTGAAAAACGAATCAAGTTTTGAAAGTTAGCTGTTTTCATCTTTCTCATTTTTTAATTTTCATTTTGGATTTATCATCAAATTTTAATTTAGTAATAAGTTCGAATAAATGCAATCATTATTTTTTATATGCTTTATCTAGCTTTATTAGTCAAAATGCCAATTCAGTGACTATTTTATGTTATCCTTTTTTTTAAATCTAATTTACCGTTCAACAATCAAATATAGCAGTAAGGTCACACATATTTTCACTTGCTTTATAATTTCTATGTGATTTTACTACTCAACATTTAAAATTAAAGATTAATGCAAATATAGTCGTCATATTTTTTTTCTTTATTCTTTGTTTAGCTTTAGTATTCAAGATCTGAATTTTATGATGAGTTCGTATATTATCACTTTTCATATTCTTCATTTAGATTGCCATTCAACGACCTAAATGCTGCACTAAGTTCCAATACAATATCTTATATTATTTTTTAATAATTTTTCTAACTTTATCACTTAATATTTTAATTTAAGAATAACAAAAAATAAAATTATATCACCTTATTTTTTATTCAGATTCATTAGTCAAAGTTTCGAAATGATGGTAATTCAAATAAAATATGATACTTGCTTTTCTTTATTTAGATTTATAATTGGGTAAGTGCAAATACAGGTGAGTTAAAATATAAGTTCTGTTTGTGTTCTAATATTATTTAGGTTTATCATTTACAATACAAATATGATTGAAAGCTGAAAAAAATGTAATTATCTGTTTTTTATTATTGTTTAGATTAGGCAACTGCAAAATCACTTTTTTTGGTCCCGGTCCCGGTGTTTGACGATGGCTTCATTTCTAAAACCAAGCAACTTTTTTTACGATCTGTGTACTTTTATGAATACATCAAATTGACATAAATGATTTTGATTCGTGAACAGNGGATGCGAGTCTTCTATTCAGCAACATACTACAGGCATAACCATATCTAATGAACTCCAAGTCACAGCCACACTCAGATAACTAAACGGTTCCGCGGTTCTATGGAATATTTTTGGAACCGAACCGGAACCGCTATTTTTGAATCATTGGGAACCGGACCCGGAACCGCGGTTCCGGTTCCCGGTTCGGTTCCGGGTAATTTTTGGAACCGCAGACCTCTAATTAGAACTCATAACCACTAGCAAAAAGTAAAATAAATAATTGTCCTTCAAAACTCCTCGGAATTAATTTGTCACGTTGTATGAAGCGGAATGTTACATGTCGTATACTTTTGTGATTTCTTCAGAAATTCAAATAATTGTGGATTGACAAATGGTAAACTTACAATAAATATCAATGAATTCAAAGAAGAAGAAATCCATTGTAAACGATAAATAAATGGATTATGATGACGTTTAGGTGAATAAACAATAATATCAATAACAGCTGGAACAGATGTTATGCTTACAATAAAAATAACTAAAATAATACGTCGAATTGCAATATAATCACGTTGATTGCGTTGTCGAAAAGAATTTGTGAATAATAATAGACGTATTTTACAAATTAAACAAATATAAAATACAAAAATAATACTCATTGGTAAACAAAAAATAACTAAGATAAAATAAATTAAAGGAATATATTCTTCCATTGATATACTGCAATAAATTTCATCTGGTATTAAACATATAGAATTAAAGACCACTAAAAATGGTAAAACACTAGAACATGAAAGTAAAATTTGACCAGGAATAAATAAATATAAATAAGTATTCGATTGATGTAATCTTAAACTTCTTGGATATAAAACTCGTGTAAAACGAAATATTGCTTGAAGAACATAACTCCAATATAAAGCACTTATAATTGAGAAAAACAAATAACTATAAAAACGACAAAAGGATGAATCATTTGGTTCAATAATAAAATAAAAATCTCGTTGTAATGTCTTGAAATTGACACTAATAAATTGTATAAAACTTTTAACAACATGTAAACAAAGAGCATTAATAGAAAGAATAATTGGAATATTATGTTTTAATGAATTTTTAACATAATTATTAAAAATAAATCGATAAACAATAAAACATAATAATATTAATGAAATAACAAAAGAAATTATTTCAAAAATAGACGAAAAAATATTTAATGTCAAGCAATATATGGTTGAATTTGAATAAATTGACATTTTTCAATAAAGAAAAAAATACATAATCTATGTTATTTTTTCTAGTAACTAATAAATTCAAAAAAGAAAATATTAAAAATTTACTTCTTTTTTTGAAAGATGTTTATAAGAAAACATGTCTTAGTTCGTATTTTTCTTTTGTTTTACATGCATCGAAAAACAAGAAAGAAACATATTGAAACATTTTTAGTCACCGATGATAGACATTATATTATCTATGCTTTCGACCGTATCAATTGTGACAAGCTTTTTAAAACCTTTTTTCTTTCTTTTTACTTTTTAATCCACCAAAAGAATGAAATGAAAGAAAACAAAAACTTCCGTGGATTTTTACAAATGCTTCCAGAGTCAACGGAATAGAAACATTAAGTGATTTCATCATTCTATATTGTTTTTCTCGTGTTTTTCACATCAGAAATTGAAGATAGTTTTCCAATTTTCTATCTTAATTAAGTACTCACAATTCAATTTTGCATTACCCTGAAAGTATTAACCCGTGTACTCTAAACATATTTATAATTGACTCTTTTGTAATTTAGAATCTCATGTAACAAAAAACGTATCATTGTTTATGTATAACTACTTAGTCGATATTCATTTAAATGATTAAACACATATTTAAATTTTCAGGAAAAAGAAGTTATTCATTATATGAACTATTTTTTCTTTCAAAATAGTGAAATGAATTTATTCACTTTTTATTGAATCATAATTACATATCCATGACAATAGAACCTATAGTGTACAGAGGAGTGCCTTAGTAGTTTTGAAACGATTATAAATTCATTATTTAGGAATTCAACAGAAGCAAACTCTTTACAGATTTTGGCATATTATTCTACCTATTTACTCGAAACTAAATAACTACAAAGTTTGAATTCGAAAGCTTTTAGTATGAATGAGAACCTGTAGCAATATTATCATCATCAATATTCGTGTGTTTGATTATAATTCTAATCCATTATTTCTACTCATGTTGATATTTTATTCGACACTCATTCAAACCAAGAAATACTAAATTGGATTCATTCCTTTCTGTAACGGAAACTCGAAAGAAGAACTTTATTTTTACCTTCAATGAAGATGTTGATTAGAGTAATTCGTGTCTCAAAAAATGTAACTAAATGATGATAAAAAGATTTCTCATTCATTTTGTTTCCAGTGTTGCATGACAACAGCTCATTATCGAGACTTAATAGACTTTTACTTAAAGAGAGCAAAGCTTCAATCCTAAATACATTTAGCTCGAGATACTTATCGAACATGGAAAAGTTTTAAGAATATATTTGGCAAAAAAAGTGTGGGTGTGGGTGTCAAAATGTTCGGATTAAAAGACAAAGATTTCATAGGAAAAAATTTTAATAAAAGCCTGATTTTTCTTCTACAACATGCGATGAAGTTTTTCTCATTATATCTAATAGATAAAATGTATTCTTTTTTATAGAGTGTACTTTTTTAGTGGACTTACTAAACTATAATAAGTACTTTTCCAATCAAATATATCCTCAAAATTTTACAGCCTTTATTAAGTATTTGAAATCAAATATATTTACGCAACTTTTTACAAGAAACTTTGCTCTTTCTAAAAAGGAAAAACTATTAAGTCTCCACAATGAGTTGTTGTCACGCTATACTGGAAACAAAATTAATGAAAAATTTTTGCAACATGTGTTATCTTACATACAACACGAGTTTATATAGAAGAGAAGAAAATGCAACAGGAGGTGAAGATAATAATGAGAGAGTGACATCATGTTTAATATCCTTTTTTTAAATTCAATACAATTGTATTGTTATTCTTGTAATTTTAAAAGCTAAGTATTGACCAATTTTGAAGCATAGTTTTCTGTAGCAATTCGATTAACAAAAGCATATTTCCCAAGTGAACAAAAAACGATTAACGGACTAATCTTTTTTCTAGTCATGTCAATCTAACTTGTTTAATCTTTGTCTCAAAAATTTCTCGACCAGAACTAGTCTGAACTTCTACCCGTCATGAGTACCCGTTCTAACGATGTGGCTGACGGGCGTCATTACACATAGTCTCTTCTTTTTCTAGAGAAAGATCCATTGAGGACTACTTCAAAATGGTTAAATATCAAATTATAATATAAAATACAGACTCGTTCCAGATAAAGACTAGACAAGTCGGATCGGCATGACGCCGATCAGAAAATGATATAAAATTGAAAAACAAAAAACTATCAGAAGCGGTTCATATGACGCTCTGGACTAGCTCGAACTAATCTAAATTGAAAAATATAAGGCAAAATGTTTGATCCAAACATGTATATAATATGTTATTTATCCATTGTTTAGACAATTGAACCATATGATCGAGAAATCAACATCTATATTTTATTAGACATTTTTAAATGCTATTTAATAGAATTTGATTCAGATGTTTTTAAAATCCCTATATGGATAAAAAAAAATTATTAAAGCACAAAATTATATAGATAAGCTTCAATAAGACTATTAAAGATCTTTTTAATTTTTCAAGGATTTATTTTTTTTTGATCGTTAAGATTTAGAAAAAATTAATTTATGTGCAAAAAAATATTAAGTGTAAACATAAATTGAAAATTATTTAAATTGAAGAGAATCTAACATTTTTAGTGTCGTGATTTTATTTTATTTTAAATTAAATTAATCCAATTTAATTCTTAAATAAAAATAATTAGGTATACACATTTAAAATATTTTCAAATTAAATTGTGTTTAATTCATTTTCCACATCTGATCAATTTAAAAATTTTCAGTTCACAGTTTTGGCCTAGAGATGAACAGCATACTTTGTACTTTCTCCTACTTTAATGATATTTTGATACTTTTTTCACCTTAACACTGAAAATTACAAAATCTTTGCTCCTTGAAGAAGGTCACAATAGCATCTTGTGTTTTATAAAATGAAGAATAATAGTAACGCATACACGAATATGATGAAATATTTAAAAAAAATGCGGTGTATATCCTTGACTGTAGTATTGGTCTCAAAGAATTCATTCGAATTTTTCACTCTAACTAGTGGAAAAAATAACATCAGTGACATTCTACATATATATTGCATACATTTAATATATATCAATAATTTTTATAATCGCAACATAGTAGAGCATTCTTAATTATCAACCATGAAAGGAAAGATGTGTTTTTACATGATACTTCAGAATAAACTTATGATACTAATAGCTTATACTTAAAATGGAAAACGTAGATGTACATTTTTCCATCACTATTCGGCCAACATTATCGTTTGTCAACATAACCTGTAAAGATTTCATTTTATTTTGAAATATAATTGTATAATGAAATTATTTAACATGGTAATTGAAATGCATCTGTGAAACAAAGTTTGAGTATAAGACTTCCAGAAATGTGAATATTAAAGTTTGAAACAATTTGTAAGGCATCTATTTTAACACATACATCTAGAATGCTGATTGATCTTTAGTAAAACATACTTAACGAAATGATTTTTATTCTATTATCTCGTCATATGTTCTAAATGCATTTGATTACCCAACATTTATTATCAACAAATGATATAAACATTGAAATATTTTCTTTGTATTATTGGTTAGTCTAAATCAGTTAGTTGGACAATTTAGTGTGAGAAAAATGAGTGACTAAAAAGTTTAATAATGTTCTGAATTATTAATCACAATACATTCTAAAAACTAGATTAGACATAAAGCGTGTAGAAGAAGCTTCAGACTAGTGTAGTCATTTGTCTTCGACAAATTTTTAATTGTTTATCAAATGGACGAGCATTTTTCTGCTATTCATACTATTTAAACTAACGTTAGTCGATTGATAAGTTATGGTTTGGCACTAGAACACTCGTTAGGGATTGAATACTGTCGACTCGGATGTTCGAATCAGCCTTTTGTCTTCTTTTTCTATTCTACGAACAAGTCCGGACGGGTTGATAGACAAACGAACTTGACATGGCCGGGTTCAAAGACGCCCTGAGCTAGTCTAGACATGAATGTAGGACATTTCTTGTCAAGATATAACTAATCATAACGAGTATGGGAGACGTTTCAGATGACATGTGACGAGTATTACGGACATTTCGAACTATTAATGCCGCCCATTTTCACTTATTTTTTGCTTACTTGGGTCAAGAGTACTCAGATTCACATGCATCCATGATTTAAAATTTTCATCATCTTGAATATTCAATTTCTTAAATGGCTTAATTGTTAAGATATTTTTCTGCTACAACAGTTTGAATGAATTGTGCGTATCTATTATCAATTACAACGCTCCATTAACGTATGCAAGCACAGAACCATATATATGAATGAGTAAGTGTTTGTATTGGCTCATATTTATCAGAGAGACTCTGAGTACAAACTTTTATTTTGTTACTTTTATGACACATTTTATTAATTAAGGTTATTAGAAAATTGACAAAATACTACACAGTAGTGTTGTAAAAGTTTCTCATTTATAGTAAAAGCTATCGATTTCAAAATTTGTAATTATTCCATATTAAATAGGTAGAATTATCTACCAGTGTTGCAAAAAATTTGTTTTTGTTGAATTCAAGAACAATAAATTTTAGAATCGCTTCAAAACATCTGAAATATCCTTTATTTTATCAGCAATTGATACACATCTTCCATGAGTTCAAATATTGACTAAACTAATCTCTAACAAAATAAAAGAAAAGGAAGAAATTTCTATTCTTTAAAATTATATCAGTGAAGATCTAAGAGTCTTGAATCAACATTCGAAATATCGTTTCATTTATTCTTTTTTCTGCAAACAAAATCATTGAATATGATTATTCGTGTAACAATTGAAAAAAAGAAATTGTTTAAAATAATCTTATTACACGAAAATAAAATTAATAAATCATTCTCTAGATTATGTATTTCTGGTTTTTATTTTTCAGTAAATATAGAATGATAGTATAATCATCTGAAATTAATTCCATATTCCATGAGGATATATCAAAAACTATGATAGACAGAAACGACCAACATCGTTTTTCATCTGTACACTTTTGAACTATACCTAAAAAAAAACACCATTCGTCATCTCTTTCAAATATTTCTCATGGATCATTTATGGAAAAACGTATTCATCAAACAAGAATAAATAGTATGAGATCAATGATTATCGTTCATACAAAAATTCAACTGATGAATAGCTCTACTTCTGAAAATAAATTCAAAAATGCAAATGATAGTTTCAAGGATAGATGTTCATGGAAACCTAAAATCTTGCCAATAGACCGATCTTAGTGCCAGTAAAATATTCTAAAATTTTTAGCACACACGTATTTATTGAACGTGTGATATTGAGTGTCTGAAGAATGACAATGCCTTACAGACAAAGCAATGGAATCGTCTAATATTCAACATTCAATATCTCAAGAAAAAAAAAGATATTTGTCTGAGCTGAAATTTTAAAAATATTCTAATGATCATGAAACTTGTCTGTAGACGAAATTTTAGGTGAAAAACTCTTAACTCAGATTTCTTGCAACACCTATCGAAAGGTGAAAAATCCCAATAAAACGTTCATAAAAATGACTAGGTACAGCATAAGTCCGAATCCTTTTAGTCTTAATCTAATCTCACTAAATTCTACTTGTAAGATAAATAGGAGCTCAGTCAATATCTGTCAATCCGAGATGTTCTTATGTTAGTTAAAATATCATCTTTTTGCTGATTAGTCTTACAATCATTAATGACCAATGAAAATTTCAACACACTCAAGCACTCATGGTAATAGAAAATCAAAATCATCTAAAGTGATTCCATGTCATGTAATTAGTTATAAATCTGAATAAGCTAATATGAGAATCAAATTATAAAACATACTAAAATGCGAAAAAAAACCAAAGTAAGCATAAAATTATATATTTAAAATTATCATTCATATATCTGGTAGACATTTTTTTTTGTCCATGTTCATTGTCATGTTTTTTATTCACTATTCACTTAACGGTAATTTTTTCGATTTAATTCTTGCGATATTACTTCTATAATGTTTATGGAAATCTATCGCAACAAAAACAAGTAATATTATATTAGTTAATTACATTATATAAAAATACATATCAATATTTTGACAACAATAAATACTTCTACATCATCAACTGATGAGTTTTTTTGTATTGCAAATACTTCACTAATAACTATATGTAACTTATTGTTGATCTGTCGATTTATCTATATAGAATTAATAGTATGTTGTTATTTTGATAGATTCATCGACGTCAACATCATTAGAGACACATGTTGTCGAAACATGGAGTTGAGCAGATGGTCTTCGTCTTCATATTGATTATGTCTTGGTGATATTCTCAAATTCAATCACTATCTACTTGAATCGATGACTTTATTCAATGGCAATAATGAAGAATTTAGAATTTTTATAGTCGAGCAATCACTGTCGATGACATATATACACTTTACACTAGTTAAATTCCAATCCTTCATGATGCTAAATACACTACTCAATAGATATATATGTCTTTAACAATTAAAGCTATAATATTAATCATTTTAATTATAAATCTATCGAAAAAGCTTTTGTATTTGTCGAAAACTTAAATCAACTGTCTAGTTTACTTATTAACTATGAAAAGTCTTTTTTATTGACTGATGTTATGTATTTGATGAAGATACAAACTGATATTTGTCAATGCACTGCTTCTAATGATTGTAACAAAGTCTATTTCTTTATGGAATATAGTGTTGTGACATGAATGAAGATCGAAATTCAGATTATAAAAAAACGAACGTATTTCTCACAAAACTTTTCTTCAGTTTTCAAACAACAAATATAATGGTGTATTCAAATTATTTTGGTGAAGATAAGCATTGTCAGCGAAAGATAAGTTAACATGATGAGTTGTTGTTTATTTCATTGTCATGCTGACTTCTCTCATCAACATTTAATTCTTATCTATATGTACATAAAACATTTCTATTTATCTTTTTCGACATGAATACCGTTTCTTTTCTTATTGTAACTATTTACAGCGCTTTCATCTTGAGCACAATTGCATTTCCTATTAAGTGTCCTAGTTCATCGGCTGAATGGTGTAAAACTAAAGAGATTGCTACAGCTTGCGAAGTATATAATAACGTTGCGTTCTTCTTCTTTTTTTCTCTACTATGATTTCTTTTTGTCTGTCAGGTAACTAAACAATGTGCGTCATTTGTATGGAATACTACGAATAATGATCGTGTTAATTTTACGATTTATTATGAATCACTTTGTGCTGATTGTCGTCAATTTATTATCACACAAGTATGGTTCGCATATCAAGCTGTAGCGGATATAGTTAATCTAACTTTTATTCCTTATGGAAATGCTCATGAAGTCTATCGACCTGAAACAAAACTTTATCAATTTTATTGTCAACATGGTCCTGATGAATGTTATGGAAATCTTATTCATGTAAATTTATTTGTATAACAACTCAAATATTAAAGTTTTTTCATGTCCATTTTTCAGACATGTGTCATTGCATTGTATCCAGAAACTCGACAACATATGGTAAAGATAGAAAAAAAAAAGAGAATTGAGTACCAAAAAACAAACAAACATTGAAAATATTCTTTTAGCCTTTCATTTATTGCATGGATTCCATAGTAGGTGATGTTGAAACAGTGGCGAGACAATGTGCAAAAAATGCAAGCATTGATTTCGAACAAGTTGCGACTTGTACAAATGGTCGAGTAGGAAATCAATTACAGCATGCATATGCTGTTCAAACTGAACAGACTAAACCAGCACAAGGTTTTGTACCATGGGTAACACTCAATGGTAATCATACGAAAGAAATTCAAGATTTGGCACAGACAGATCTTATTGCTCTTCTTTGTGACACATACAAGGTTAAATTAATGAATTATTTTTTATTTTAAATAGATATTCTTGTTTTCTATCGTATATAGGGTCCCAATCCACCACCAAGATGTAAGAAGATATTGTAATCATTTTGTTTCATTCAAACTTTCTTACGAATATGAATGTTTTTTTTTTTTTTGGTATTTTTTTTATCAAATAAAAACCAGACGAATATTATAGTTAATTAAATTGTTTCTGTTATGATAATTCTTTCTCAAGATAAAAACAGTTATGATATCAAAAATGATAAAATTGAATTATTAAACATGATATTAATATGAAAATATCAAGATTGTTAGACATCGAAAACTGCCTGAAAGACTTCAAAATTCGCGAAACTGATCATTTTATTTTTTGAAATTACAAAACAAAGAAAGATAAGAACTCAGATCTTTAAGAGTTGATCGCGATCTTCATTCAATGGGACTTTTGTCACAGAAAAAAAAAATCATCGAAGCTGTGAATCACAGGTGAACTAAGAGATGATATCCATCCTTCATAGTCATTTTTATCTTATGCGTCATCTTAGACTTAGTCATACACCGATATATGTTGTGTATATCTTGAATTTTTGGAAAGCAAATCAGAGTATTGATATGATTGCTAACAATATGACTGACAAGTTTCGTTCATATTCTATGTTTTTAATATAATTTTGCTTTGTTCTATGTTATTTTATGTTGGAATACTGAACGGAAAATAAGAATTTAATTTAGTTGTTATTGATGACCGAAAACTATTTTAGATATCTATATTGATGTGAGTAAATGACTATTATGATATTTAAGTAAAGCAAACCTCATTGAAAATAATTATCGTTTTTGAACAAAAACCATGTGACTGGGAACGTTGTTTAGTGAAATTTCTTTTCATCAATAAATGATATTATGTAGCAACTTTTGTTTTTTGTTTTCAGTGCAATGTAAAACTTGAAACATTTAATTTTCGATATGAGAAATAGTCTCATGCTTAAATGATAGTGGAGCTGCTTTGTCTTTCATCTGAATTTAATTTTCAAACTTTATTGCAAAAATTTATGCTTAGAGAGGATCGTGATCAATATCTGTCATTAATTCATACCCTTCTCTCCTTCGATTATACACTGGTCGAAAAAAAAATGCAACTTATCGGCCCATAAATCCTTTGATGCCGACCATAGAAGAATAGTGAAGCCTTGTTAGTTACCTTCTGCGAATTCACGGCCATGTGTTCTAATTATTAAGTACTAGCTTTGAATTACTGACATGTTTCTCATGTTCGTTCTCGAATATCAGAAAAAGCATTAAATTCTGGTAAATGATTTAATCTATATACCACTAACGTTATGATCAGCGAGAGAAAAACCAAGAATAACTGACAGGTAATTATAGAGATATGCTTTTTAAGAAGGCTGAATAAAGATATACATATGGCCAGTATAATGACAAGCTTCTTTTCTATATACTCAAGCAAAATACCACAAATTTCTCCGACAAAAATGGAAAGAATAAAAGAAAAGATTCAGAATCACAGTTAGCGCAACCAATTCTAAGAGAAAGCTCAGTTCTAGTTTGGCAATGCTCATGAAATGATATTATTTTCATCTTATCATTTATCGGATATTATGTTCATATTTATTTTATATTTTATTCCATAAATAATGAAAAATAGTCAGATAAAAAAGAGAATATTGAATTCAAAACAATCCATCACTATCTATTTTCTAATTATGATTCTTTTTGTTTGTATTTAATGACGATGAATGTCTCAATGAGCTTCTCATTTTCAAATCCTGCTTCATTTGAAATTCTATTCTAAAAAATAAGTTATTTCGTTAAAGAAGAACCGATCCAACGATCGTGTTTGTTTTTCATGCATTATGCTACTATTATAGAAAATACTCGTTTCCTGGTGATATGTTAAGTAGGAATGTTCAAACGTTCTTTTGTGAGTGCAACTTAGCGTAGAAAATACTGTTTTTTTTTTTGTTTTGCCATGATTTGACCAGATTGAGTTCAGTTATTATTGTTCATTGTTCAGTAAGTTGGTATAGATATATATATGTCGTATCGAAGTTACACCGGTCGACGAACTTATAACTTCGTCGATCGATATTGACGAAGTTACAACTTCGACAAAGAAACTTGTCGAAGTTATTTGTAATTCACTTATCAATAAATAATTTATTAAACTGAGTATGCTACTGTTGAATATATGATCAAAAATAAAATTTTTACTAATAAATGTTCATTTATTCCACAATATTATTAAAAAAATGAATAATCATTAGTAAAAATTTCATTTTTGATCATATATTCAACAGTAGCATACTCAGTTTAATAGATTATTTATTGATAAGTGAATTAAAAATAACTTCGACAAGTTTCTCTGTCGAAGTTGTAACTTCGATAAGTATGAGCGTCGAAGGTATAACTTCGTCGACCGGTGTAACTTCGATATGACATATTTAAAGCATAAATAGATTATCACTCTTTATCTGAACAATATGAATAGATGGAAGCGGCTTCTCTAAAGCTTTTCAGCATATAAATCGATGAAAAAAAAAGTGAATTTAAAGTAGTATGAAAACAAATGTATGCTTTTAACTATATGACAATACCTGTCAACAAAATCAACATTTCATTATTTTGCACATGTTCGTTCTCAGCACTTGACGACGTTTTTTTTCTCGCGTTCTGATCTGCGAGAAAAAGAGAAAATAATCATAATGAATTGGCCATCACGTGCCAACGCTTCCGTTGTAAAATTCAGATCTTATTTTCATCGATTTGAGTGAGTATACAGAACTGTTTTACCTGAGAAAAAAAAGCGGTGTATCCTATGAAAAAACAAGAATATTTATAATTCTTGTTAAAGAAACTTATTTGAACCATTGAAGATAAGCTTGCAATAGACATTGAGTGCACAAATAAAGAATAATTGATTATATGTGTATGAAATCTTTTTTTTTTTGTAGCAGATTAAAAACAGAAAATGAGCTCATTGAGCAATTCAAGTGTTGCATTAACGCAGCAATCAGTATCCGTCACTCAATTGCAGAAAGAATCAACAACAATTAGTGCATGTGCCAGTTCAATTAATCAAACTGTTAATCATGAATGTATCACTTTTGTATGGCTCGATCTTCGACGGGATCCGACGGGAACTTTTGTCGGTACCCTTCGTGCAATTAATGATTGTGTACGAACTTTTACTGATGTGTCAGCTTGCTTAGATTTCATAAAGTCTTCTCATGAGAAGATTTTCTTCATTTCGTCGTCGAGTAATGGTGAGCTATTAGCTACAGTACATCTATGTATAGCTGTCGAAGCTATTTTTGTGCTCGATCCTGATACGAACAGTGTCCGAGGAGATTTTCCGAAGTTGATTGATATTTTGACTCAACAAGAGGAACTTCTTCGAGTACTCAGAATCACATTAGATACATTTGAACATATTCAACTAGAAAGATTCGTATTTGAAACGGATAAAATGTTTATATGGTGGCAATTATGGAAAGAAGAAGTAAGTCATTTTCATTTGTAAACTTTATTTTCATTTTAATAATTCTCTTTTTTCTTTCTCAGATAACTAGTCAAAAAGCAAAGCAAAACAGTAAAAGTTATTTGGTGGAACAAGCTCGAAACTATTATCGAGGCAATTCAAAACGACTGAAACTAATTGATGAATTCGATAAATCATATCGAGCGAATGATTCGCTTCGTTGGTGTTTTCGTTCACCATTCCCATCACGTCCTTTACGATACGCACTCATGTCACCTACCCTTAATCAACTCTCATCATATCAATTTCTTATAACTGATGCAGTCCGTATCTTACAACAACAATCGAAGCGTACTGGCCATGGACAAGTCTATCGAGGCATGAAACTACCGAATGAACTGGTCGATATGTTCGAAACACATATGGGTGAACTAGTATGTGTCAACGGATTTTTTATGTGTACGAAATTAAGGAATATAGAATTGCAATCGGCTGCATCACCAGGATATCGATCTGATCTTTCATCTGTTCTGTTTAAAATTGATTTTGATGCAGCAGCTCGATTAGCTGAAGTTCCAATGGAAAATGGTTCTATAATAGTGGTTTTCGATGTTGCAACAAGTTTTCGAGTGGTATGCGTCAATCGAGGTACGATGTCGATTATCAAAATGAAGACTACTTCAGATGAAGGAAAGAAACTAGCATTAGAGTTCAAAGAAAAAAATAAAGGAAAGACTATCAAAATGCTACTTGACGAGTTGTCTGCCCCACCAAAACCGGCAACCCCACCGCCGGCAACTAAAATTGAAGTCAGGTATTAGTGCTTCGTAAAAAAAACGTATTAATATGATATACAAAAAAGACTGAAAGTCATTTGAGATAATTTATAATTTAGAAATGAGCCGATACAAATCAACAATTCTCAAATATCCGAAGATGAATTGGAAGCAAAGAAACATTTGAAACGTGGAGATATTGATCAAGCAATTGCCGCTTATCAACGTATTCGACCAATGCCGGTTCGAATTCTTAAATTAATTGGTCAATTGTCTGCCGATGAAAAAGAAGACTACGATACTGCAGTCGAATGTTATAGACAGGCACTTAAAATGCAGGAAGAGGTAAAATAATAAACAATAATTATTGACGTCTTCGACTAACAGAAATTAGAAAACGACATCGGGTGAACTAGAATCGTTTTAAATTTCTTTTTTATTTGTTAGGCAGGTGAGGATATCGCCGATACTCTTTCACGACTCGGAACAATTTATCATCACCGCGGTGAATATGAGTTGGCCCTTAAGTGCCATAGCCGTGCATTGGCTTTATATGAATCTGCTCATCCACGTGTTTCAAATTCGATTTCTACTAGCCTTACTAGTATTTCAAACACTCGTCGGGCTCAAAAAGACTTAAATGGAGCTCTTGATTATGCCCAACGAGCATGGACGTTGTGTGAATCTAGTGGATCTGAAAATGACGCTATTGTGGCTAAAAGTTTAGCTTTATTAACAAATATTCATCATGATCTGGGTGATGATGCTCAAGCACTGAAGTTGGGTACACGTGCTTTGATACTCTTCGAACGTGTTCGTTCATCAAATCCATCTCAATCAGCTGAATTATTGAATACTCTAGGTCTCGTACAAATGAATTTAGGAGAATTATCCGAAGCACGGCATTATTTTGAACGAGCACTGAAAATATACTCTCATATTGCACCATTGGGACAGGTAGAATCGGCCAAAACCAAGAAAAATCTTCAATGTGTACTTGAAATGCAACAAAATATCGACAATTTACAACACTATTCTTGAGTCAGACATTATTTCTTCTGATACTTTTGAACTATGTTTGTGTTTTATTGTTGTTCTTGATTCAGAAATTCTAAAAATGAAGAAAAAAAATGTTTTTAAAAATCATTTGTTCTTCCTTCTCGAAGTGGAAAAACTCTTAATGAAATTTCGATCTAGCAAACAGCATACTATAATAGTTTAAACATTGAATTTCTTTTATACCGAACAAGCTACAAGGCATTGTAATAATTAATCATATATCAGCTGACGATCTTACGAGATCTCTGTACGAAATATTATGGCATACACATAATTTTCACGTTTGATAGCCATTGCTCCACAAAAGTAGTTTTCAATTATGTATTGTCTATAAAATTGATATTCAATTCCGAAATAGAAGGTGAGTATGTATTTACTGAGTACGTTTTTATTTGAATTAGATGAGAAAAAAATTAGTTTTGACTATTTGAAAGAAACAAAAAATAACAATTTCGAGAATTACTCTTTACTTCTCTTTAAAAGTTACGAGTACATTGGTAAACATCATAAACACATTATTATCTCATTGTATCTCCTCTAGTCAAATGCTATATTGATTAATTTGAATTTTTTTCAAGTACATTGGCATGATCCAAGGCGGAAGTGAAAATATCTAATACAGCTATTGGTCATCCGAAATTCTAGTTGTCAGTAAATAAAGGAACAAGTATATGGCATCAAAACTTGTTGATTGAATTCTTTGTGCCATTGTAGACTTACCGATTATAATTATATTCTACTGGATCAGTCTTCATTATTCTGAATAAACTGAAACTATGATCAAATATTTTTCAAAAAAAAAAACAGAAAATTCGAATCGAGATTGACTTTTGAGTCATCAAAGGTGAGTTCAATGTTTTCTCTGATCAAAGACAAGAATTTGAATTAGACTGGTTGTAGCATATTCTTATTTGTGATGATACCATTAGAAAAGGTTAAAAGATGGTGACAGTCGTTGACGTGGCGAGGTCTTTTAAGCAATCCATTGTCTTTTTAGATAATTTAATTATAAAAAAACACAATTATGAATCTGATCTCAGTTTTCTCATCACTTTACTGTTGAAATTCATTGCTAGTCTCTGACTGTGGATACAGAAACCCAAGCATGCTGCAATTTAGTTTGCAAGACGAATCCTAAAGCATTTACTAGCACGCTTACGTGGTAATCGACGATAAGACTTACGATTCTCGTATGCTTGTTGTTTCATAATTTTTGACGGCATTTTTATCAAGAAACGCAAGAAAAAATATAACAGTTTGCTCTTTTTTTATTCCGACATTTTGCGATAAAACGAAATTAATGTTGTGATAATTCTTTTAAACTAAGAAGTCGAATAAATGTTGCACTATTATTTTTCTACCGACGTGTCAAACATTTCTCTATCATTTGCTCTGTTTTGGTAGCATAGGTTGCTGTTTCATAATTGATAGTATTCACTTGAATGTCATCGTTAAAAACCTATTCACCAGCAGTTTCGCAAGTGAAGTTATTGAATATCAAGAGAGAAAAATTTCTGGAAAATGACGGCTTCATCATGAATAGTTTTAAATTCAATAAATTTCATCAAATTTGTTACATCACCAGTTCAATAGGCAATCGACATCAATTGAGACTATCTGGTGCGATCGAGCTGAGTTGGCTTAAAGAGACTATTTTCATGGATCTAACAGACCTAGCGAAAGATATCAACGAGCCGGATCATAATAAAATTTTGGTAGAGTTACTCTGCTCATAATTTTGATATTTTTCCTGCACCAACATACGTATATGCATATTGCAAGTGGTAACAATAAGACATCTTTACGACTACTATTGACAAACGTGAAAGCTGAATTTAATCATTGAAGAGCCTATCGGATATTCATATTCATCAACACCAAGATGACTAAGTCTAAATCTGTGACAGTTCGAGTTCGAGAAACTGAACTAATTAGTATCAATCATCGAGTTCTGCTCGAAAGAGTTGAGTTGTTCAAACAAATCAGTTAGTTCGATGAACCTGTTCTATTTTGAGAATCGGATATAGTGACTTATTCATTTTTTTTGTGACAACTAGAACAGTTAATGAATGGGGTTGCTACAGTACCATTATCAGCAGACAGTTCATATGAAAAGAATTGTTTACTTCGCATAGAGCAGTTCATAGAACTGAACTATCACAGGTATGCTTAAGTTTTTTTTTCTCCTAAATCAATCCGACAAGTACTTACTCGAACTAGAGTTTTATCCGATCTTTCTCTATGTGTTGGCTTGAAGAAACTGACTACATTTTCATGTTGAATTGTATACCTTTGAGTCAAACCCGATGACTCAAATGAATACAGTTTTTATCGAAATGAAAATAAGATGACGCATTTGAGAACACAAGTTTATGCAAAGTGGAAGTATTGTATATCGAAGCCTCAGGCAATAACAATGCAGAATCAATCTAACCATTCTTTCGTTAATAATACTACACGTATATAGCCATAGATTTCTTCCTCAGAAGTATACATCGAAGTCATTATAGAAAAAATGATGTATTTCAATATTTACGTGAACCTTCTTCCTTTAATATGTTTTTTTCCAAGTTCCGTTACATCCCTTTTGAGTAGTTATAAATGCACACAATTGCTCACTGTATACATTTTAATTTGGTGTGCATACGAAAAAAAAGTGTATCTATCACACTGTGCAAAATGGCATCGGTAAATTCAACCCATTCTGGTGAACAAAATCAGACCACAGATACATCCCAACATCATGATACATTGCAACAACAGTTTCAAACCCACATGAGATCACTAGTAACTAACATTCTGAATGGAGATTTCTCCAAAGCTATTGGCAACGTAAACGTTTTGAAACATACCAATCAACTTATGTTTTGTGATCCACAATTGTCGGTAGATGTCCGAGAAACCGTGTAATGTTTAGGACAATCATAAATAAAATCGATTGATGTCTATAAATTAAAAGCTAAATGACGAGACGAATTTGTTTGAATTCAATAGTATTTTAAATGACGTCATTTCGATCAAACTTTAATTTATACAATATCAAATTGTTCTTTATTAATAAACTAAAACCAAATGCTTGTAGTTAATTTCGATTATCTTCGATCGAGTTTGTTCTAATTTTTTTATATTTGTTTCTCAAAGTTCACATCATTCTTTTATGTCGAATTTGAATCAAACATAAATAGTTAAAATGTAATTCAACATCATCTTCATGTTTACAAGAGAATATCAGCGTCTCGTCCACTCATTGTCTACATGGAATAAATCTCCTCTGAAGTAAATTATTCTAATAGAATCATAGTCTATTTCGAAGTATGGCAAGTAGCATGAGTATTCAGTAACTTCCACTGCTCGAAAGCATTGTTGTTGACGTTATTCAGTCATAGAAATACTTCCTTCATTAGTCTCACGATTGATTATCTTACAAACTCATATTCAATCAGTTTTTTTTCTTATACCAAAGAGCATTCATTCTCTTAGATATTAAATGTATTCTATGCATTAAAAATCAACCATTATGTGTTGAAGCTTTTCAAAAACATCCTCATTCAGTATACAAAGGTATTGCATGAAAGAACTTAGTATTCCACTGATTTCATTCACAAGTTATGTAGGCAACCGACAGCGCATATTGCAGCAAATAACCAACATTGATTATTTTTATTTCTGAACTGAACTTCAAACGAACTTTTTAGTCAATAAATAATGTTTAGATTCCAAAAAGAAAAATAAACTTTATTGGCAATCTTGAAAAAAAAAGTTTCATCATCTCAGCTCTCTCACAATAATCTACAAACAGTGCCCAGATTCTGCTCATTTCTCTTTCTGTTCTCATCCAATTTTCGTTGAATCATCAAGTAAAGCACTTAGGCGCGCATATATACGAATGTATAATCATGCAGTGATTCAATAAATGCTAACATCAATCGTCCTGACAAAATTAGTTTCCAATTCAATGAAGTAGAAGGAATACTTATTGAGATATTATGCTTTACTCATCGATTTCATTGAAATGTAAAAAACTGCTAAAGCAACAAAAAAAAAAAGCTAACTTATATATCAAAGGAACTTTTACTTGTCCATCAGATAATATCAATTTCGAGTACAATTAACATAATTTAAGCATCTGTCGAATGTTGCAGCAATGAAGTTTCATTGATATTCTCAATCGATTACATAGAGTAAATAATATTGCTGACGAATGACGAATTGAACACTAGTGTTTCGTAGTTAGAAATATCTAACAAGGAACAAATCAATCAAACATAAAACTGTTATGTTGGTTCAATAACATGATATAAAGCACTTTTTTCATTCGTCGAATACTTTCTTCTCTTGTTTTTACTTGATTTTGACTTACACTAATTTTGATAAGTAGTATGAAAAAATTTAAAATATCGTGTGAATCTGAGTTAATTTCCTTGAGATAGACTTCTTCAAATTCTTCATATCCAATGTGAGTGTTACTGTAACGAGTTAGGCAACAGATTCAATTTTTGAAGCTAATTATGTAATGATATCAATGTCATGCGTGTGTCAACAAATTGATGAAATTTTTCGAGTCACACACCATTTTCGTAGTGTAGCTATAAGTGGAGGGAGGTGGGAGTGTATTATTTACTTTGTACGCTTTTCAAAAAAGTATATATTAGTGTATTACATAACGTTACGAAACGAACTGCTATACATTTTCATTTAACTCTCTAACATTTCAGTGACGGTAACAACATCGATCAGCATGACTACAGAACTTCACGATGGTCAAGAGACATTGATTGGCTTTAGTGCTGAAAGCTCTGATTCAGTTCACCAACAACAGTTTACTACTCATCTGACTAAACTTGAAACATACATACGGAATGGCGAATTTGAACAGTCAATTGACGAAGTAGCTATATTGCAACAGATTAACGAACGACTAAATCAACATCCAGTACACTGATTACTCTTCTATAATTCTAAATAATAAACAAGACGAATATCTCATTAAGCATTATTTTTGAATGACAATATGCATATGCACGCATACATTTCACTAGAAGAGAAAAAAGAAGAAACTATCAACTCTGTGTCTGTATGGTACTGTGATATAGTTAGTTAAATTGTGAAACGAATTAAGTAATGATACCAGTTTCGTCCTTAGCAAAAATAAAAAAGCATATAGAGCGCATTTTTCAAAATAGTTCAGTTGCATTTGATGTATTTAAAGAATTTTGCCAAACAAGATTAGTATACTTCAAAAGATTCTTATGAAGGCTAAAAGAAAACAGAAATCAGTGGTATCAGGTAATGGCATTGAATTATGCTAAAGCACGAAACTTTCAGGAAAGTTTGAGAACAATTCAAAGATGCGTTCACAAGATGCTAATAAAACGTACAATCAATTATCGTCAGACGGATTTTTTTTGTCGAGAATTAAAATAGAAAATAGTCTTCACTTTTTGGCATCACTGTGATTTTTTATTCTTCGGCATAAAGAATGAATTAATCAACACGGCGGCTGCCGGTAGCGCCGAAAAGCAAGTATGAAAAATAGTGACATGAGTAATGCGTTATACCATACACTTTGTTGAAGCTGAGAATGTCAGCTTTCTTATCATGCTACTATTACATTCACCCTCATTCCGCCCTTATCTTCACGTTCATCCTGCACTATCACTCTCCATATAGTCAATTGTTTGACCTTGTATACAATATTTTGATATAAATGCTGATATGTTTTTACAATGTAACGAGTTTAATGTGAATGATCATCAAAATCTTCTATCACTAGATCTATTAATAGACAACATCGATTTTAAAAATAATCGAATAATGTAATGTTTATTGAAGATTGAATGACACTAGATGGACACGCCCAGCGCGCACTTTGTAACGATAGCTGTTATTGATCGAAATTGAGAAAAGCAAAATTTTCAAAAGCTATTAGATACATTTTCTATATGCAGCACGAAATATTGAATGAGCTTTTGGTAGCATATTCTATCAAATGTTTGATCTATACGCTAAAGTGATCTTCTAACAAACGGATTAACAACATGAATTCTCATTCATATAACAAGTAACATGACACCTACGTAAAGCATCGTCAATTTCGAACTGTGCTTTGAAATTAAGAAGATTTATCTATTATTATCATGGATTTGAATAGGTTTGTTGTGCATCGGTCATTGATGTATAGAATTCGTTACATTCGATGGAGTTTTATCGAAGAACGATGATGAAATTCGTTTTCTTGCGATCATAGTAATTTTCGTCTTTATGTTGGTTTGAAACGGTTCTTCGATGTTATTCATCTCATTGTGATATGGAAAAAAGATTATGTCACGAATCCTAACCATTGTCAATTGCTGTCTTCTTATACGAACAAAAGCGATAAAAAAACAGTGCAATCCATTCTCAAATATTTTTCAATCAGTCGGAAATTTCTACTCACTAAAGGTCTATTCTGGATGTAATCGTTATTTTTAGATGAAATATCGATCAATAAAATAAATATTTGTTTAAATAGTGGTGCAATATGGTCAGGTTGACGGAATCTTTATCGATGATAAATCAAAAGACTTGTAGATTAAACAGGCCACATTGCCTCAGAAGATTGAAAAAAGCTTCATTTCAAGTGCATAATTGTTAAGTTGACTTTCTCTTCATACAGGACCACCCCCCATAGTGCAACTGGCGCCCTCAGCTTACCATATTGCACAACTTGTTTCTCATGTCAATAGACCTCATAACTTGTGAACGTAGACATACGCATGTTTTTGATTAAAGATAATATGTTGATCGGATTCAGTTTTCTAGAACTGTCTGAATTTAACTAGATACATAATTTTGTCGAGGTCATGTTTTTCTGAGCATGGCTATGACTCAGATAGGGAAAGGGAGGAGGATAAAGAATGAGTCTCATTGAATAGTTCGTGACTGAAAGAAAAAATTTGCTGTAATATGAAAGTCAACATACCATTATCTTGACTTTACCTACTCAGATAAAAGTGTTCACATGGCATTAGAAGGGCATGCGGATTCTTTTAATACAAATTTTTTACCTGAAAAAATCTCTCGTTTCAAAAACGAGCGAGTTTTGTTTTTGTCTTGCTTATTTTGTTTTAATAAATAAGAGTATTTTTGGTTTTACTTTAACAATAACTAAAGTTTATCTAAACCTTTATCTATTAGATATACGATAGAATCGAATGTACCCAAGCCTTTATTTTTTTTAATCTAGGATAGACTCTAGTCTATCCAGGTCTCACACTTCCACAACTGCCTATGTAAGCAAGTTTTATGGAAAAATAAGCGACCTATTAAATATATTTCTACGTAAAAATGAAATGTTAATATCATTACAAAAAAAAATAGCTCTTTTTCTCATACAGAATAAAAATACATGTTGGTTTTTTTTTATTATTTTGTAAAACAGTCTTAAATTTTTTTTTCTGCTTATATTTCTAGGTATATTCAAACGATTGAATTAAAATTTCTAGTTAACAAAAAAAAGTCTATTGCATTTCATCAAATTTCATAGCTAAATGTCCTGTCTTGATATATAATTGACATCCATTTTCACTTTTTACTTTAAACTGTCGTCCTGCCCAATTAATGGGTCGTCTTATCCAAAATCCTTGTGTACAAGTATTCTTATTATTTTCATCATCTGTTCCATCAATATTTGCAAAACTCATATCACCTTTAAGTACAAATATTTCTTCACCACCTTGACCAACAATCCAATGATCACTTTCAAAACCAGCTTCCCATCTTTCCATCCATGTACATTCACCTGTATTTGTATTTGAAAATAAGGCCAAATGTTGTTGTTTTGCATTTGTATCTTTTGTTTTCCAATCATTCGAAGTTTCAGTATCAATAATAACAATTGGTGTTTCTGTGCGATCATTCATTTGACGAAGTTTAACTAATATTACAGCTCCTTGTTCACCTGTCCATGGCTCATGTTGTGTATCAATTCCATGTCGACAATAACTTAATGGAGCATGATCACCAGAAAGATCATCAGAAAATATTCCATCTAATACAACAAATTCTTCACCAGCACTATGTGTATGACGAGGGAATCGTGCAAATGAATGATATTTAACAATAGTTGTAGCTCGAGCAACCTCATCACCTGTTCGATCTAACATTCGACGTTGAACACCTTGTGTAGGCGAATCAACAAATGGAATTAAATTAGAATCGACAACATGTGGAATAGAAAGATCAGAACGAAGCTGCATAATGATGACACTATTGTTTTAGTTCTTGACGGGTTTAATGTTATAAAATGAAATAAGGAACAGAATGTCTATATATATGGGAGGTAAAAAATCCATGAGTCATAGCTGACAAGGCAGAAAAAAAAATGCCGACAGAACGAAGAAGAAAAAAAAAATAACAAGATAAACGTTTTCTATTTTAGGTTGTCTTATCAATTAAAGCGATCTGATTAGCATTAAACGAAATTTATTGAAAAGAAAAATAATTATTCTTTCTAAACAATTGTTATAACTATGATTATAAAAGCTTTTTGCAGATTTCAGATGTTATATTTTTATATGAAACGAAATTGTCGCCAATTAGGTCGTATTATATATTATACTTCATTGTCAAGATGTTTATCTTCAAAGAATAATTTAATAAACAATGATAAAATTCGTACATGGAGTCATTCATTACGTGAACTTCTTTATCATGGTAAACCGGAAGAAGTTCTTAAAGAATATTATAATCGACAACCACCATTATTTGATTTAACTGTACAAATATATTGTATACTTTTTAAAGCATATACATTAACTAAAAATTGGTCTGAAGGTCATCAATTATATACTCAAATTCAAACTAATAAAAAATTTAATAATGATCAACGATTACAAATCGCAAGTAGATTATCAAGTTAAAAATGATAATTTATTACTGATTTGTTTTTCTTCTTCGTTTTAGATCATATTAAATATGTACTCAAAAGCAGGTTATTTTGATCTAGGTATGTATTTTTTACTTTTATTTTATTTTTTAAATTTCTTTTTATTAAATTTAGCGGAAAAGATTCTTTTCGATCTAATAGCATCATTACCAATATCAACTAATCCTCATCATATTGATCCAACAGCTTTTTCTATACTTATGACTGGATATAATCTTCATCATCAACCAGAAAAAACTTTGATTACATTTGATCGTGTTCAATATCCTGATGCTATTTCTTATTTACTTTCATTTCAAGCATGTTCACAATTAAAAAATCTACAACAAGGAAAACGATTAGCTAATAAATTAGCACAATCAAATATAGATCTTCAAAAACAATTTAAATTACAAACTGCATTATTTGATGTAAGTCAATATCAATTCAATAATAATATCTATTTATTTATTGTTAGATGTATGGCAAATGTGATGATGTGCTAAATGGTAAATAAAAACTTGTCTTTTATCTTCTTTCTTTATTTTATTTTGTTTATTTGTTCAGCTGAAAATATTTTTGAAACAATTGAAAATCCAACAATTGTTCATTATAATTCATTGTATGTATTTTAATTTATTATTTCATATGATTTATTCTTGTTTTGTACAGATTAAAAGTCTATAATAATAATAAAATGTATGAAAAAGCATTTCAATTGTATTATAAATTAAAACAAAATCAAAAGAATCTTAAACCTGATCAAATCACCTTTAGTTGCATTTTTTATTCAGCTGCTAAAATGATTCAACTTGATCGATGTCAAGAAATTCTAAATGATTTAAATTCTAGTACAATTCATCTTGATAATCATCCTATTCTTCAAACAAATCTTATCAATGCATTAGGCAAATGTGGTGATATCATTACTGGTAAATAATTTGTTTATGAAATAATCAAAACTCTTTTTTTTCATCTAGCTCAAAAAATCTTCGATCAAATTACTCAAGAACGTACTACTGGTATTTATAACGTAAGAGTCATGTATATAGAGTTCCAGTAGCTGTAGTTTTTTTTGTGGAGGGGGGGGGGGGGGTTGGGGAACCTCAATTTCTGTCTAACAGAAAAGTATTACAGAATTTATTCGTATCACATTTAAAAGGAAATTCTTCAATACTAAAAGACAATTTATTTAAAACTAAGAATTTTAACTATAATCTTTTGTTCCGATTAGGACAGTTTTTTTTTTTCATTATAGATCCGGTCTTAGTAATGTCTCGTTTCCGTATTCTTACGCATCTCTAATCGTGTATCAATAGAAATTCCGCTCATCCTTTCATTTTAATAGGCTTTGATGAAATGTTACATTTATGCTCAAACACCATTAACTGCACTTTCAATTTTTGATAAAATACCAAAACCTGATGCAATATCTTATCTGATTGCAATTAATGCATGTGCTCATATCGCTATGTTACGACGAGCTCGTATTTTATACGAACAAATTTTATGTTATTTTCCATCTTATAAAGAAGATATTCGAATAATGAATGCTCTTATTGATATGTTTGGAAAAGTAAATCGCAACTTAATAGTCATGTTATATATATATATATTCAAGAAGTAATCAATCTTTTTTTTTCTTAGTGTGCTGATGTTACCACAGCTCAACAACTATTCGATACAATTGGAAATAAAGATATTATTTCGTACAATGCTCTAGTAAATACCTGTTATGTTTTGAATGCCTTAGTAATTCTGTTTTGTAGATAAATGCATATGGTATGAAATAAAATCTTAACTTTTTATTGCTAAAAAGAACGTCTTTCATTTCAAAGGCCTTAGTGGAGTTGGTTTGAAAGCTTTAGAAGTTTATAATTCATTACTAGCTAATTCAACATTAACTCCTGATGAACAAACTTATTCAATTATTCTAAATGCTTGTTCACATTCATTACTTGTTAATGAAGCTGAACAAATATTTGATTCGATACCAATTAAATGTCGAAATGTTTTTATTTATGCTACTATGGTAAATAGAATCTTTTTCTTTGCTATCAATCTTGATTCTTTTTTTTTTAAAATAGATTAATGCACTTTGTCGCGCTTTAAAAATCAATCAAGCTCAAAATCTACTTGTTCAATATGAACAAACTAATAATAAATATCCACCAATGTATATAACATTATTAACAGCTTATGCTCGTCTTCAAAATATTAATAAAATGATTGAAATACGTGATCTTATTGAACAATATTTTCCAAATAATTTTCATTATATTTCATCATCAACAATACTTTTAGCAAATACTCATGCTTTTCTCGGTAATATGGATGAAGCTCGACGTTTACGTACAATTGCAGCTGAAAAAAATAAATTCAGTGGAATATCAAAATTACCTGGAATTTCATGGACAGAAACGAATGATGGTCGAATACATGAATTTATTGCTCATGATGTTTGTAAAAATAAAACTATACATTTAAAATTTTATTTTAGTTAATTCTCTTTATAAAACATTATCTAAAAAGAATATTGAATTATAGGAATAAAAGTTTGAGATCTCTACAATCCAAGAGAGACGCCTTAGTAACGCCCTTCCTCTCTGTCTTAGACTTTGTTGATTTACTATCAGAGACTGTATATCAATAGCATCTCGTTGTACTGTTTGAACTAGAAATATGTAGAATAGGGTTATTCTGTACATTTCTAAGATGAAATACTTTTTTTTTATTGCATTTCTGAAGGATTAACTAAAAGAATGATGAAGAAATCGGTTTGAAAATAGATAAAATAAAGCAGTAGCTCCATTATGTTTCATATTTTCATTCCGTAGAGATTTTGCTAATCGTTTTTTGTTGTTGTTGTTTAGAAGCGTCATGAACGAACAGAAGATATTTATGAAGAATTAAAATATATTTCTGATAAACTTAATAAAGATGGTCATATAAGTGATCAACGATGGATAACATCGGATCATAATTTGAGTAAATTAAATGATCCATTAAATAGTCATAGTGAACGTTTAGCACTTGCTTATCAATTATTACTTCGACGAACAATACCAAGTAATGAACCAATACAAATTACAAAAAATCTTCGAATATGTGGAGATTGTCATGATATTTTCAAACGAATTACTCGTATTTATCAAGGACTTGTTATATTAACTCGAGATAGAACACGACATCATAAATTTCAACAAGGACAATGTTCTTGTAATGATTATTTTTGAAATAAAAACAAACAAGAAATTTCTTTCTTTAATTAGAAAATACATTACAAATTTGAAAAACATTAAAATTATAAATAGATCCCTATTAATTTAAATGATTTATATGAATATTCGAGAATTTCATTTAATATATTATACAGTTTTCTTTCTTCTAGTCTTATTTATTCATATTTTAAAAATGCATCGAACGTATAATCTTGTTATTAACATAAAACAAAAAAGTCCTGAAGGCGTTGATAAACATTTTGGTCTACTGATAACAAGAATAAACTTTGTATTATTTTTTCTTTGATATGAGACATTAATAATTCGCATGTAATTAGCTCAGTTACAATGAGAAAAAAAAAGGAAAGCTATTACTTTTTTCCTTTTCTAGTAATGTTTATTATGTTATGAGTCATTTGTTTTTCGATACGATCTTTATGATTCAGGCATTATATGCACTGTTATAAACATATAATGCAGTGTTTATTTTGTATTTTTAAGGTACCTAAACTATTTTATTCTATCTTAAATAGAAAAACAACAATGATAACATCCATTGAACACTTACCTGATGAAATTTTATTAAACATTTGTCAATATTTATCTCAATATGATATTATTCTTGCTTTTTTTGGTTTAAATAATCGTCTCAATTGTACAGTTTCACAATTCATTCAAACACTTATTATTTCTAATGAAAACTACTTCACTCATCGAGAAAATTATCAACTTCTTTCTATTATTGGACCTTATCTTCATTCACTTACAATCAAACATACTCATTTGTCTTCAGCTGAGATCAGTTTAGCATCAAATATTCAAGAATTAACATTTATTCATTCACAACTTGATGATCTGCCGGTAAATTTATAAAGAAAGATTAAATAAATTGAAAAAAAAGAAAATTTATTCATTTTCTTTTTTAGCCACTTCGAAATCTAACTGATTTGAATATTATCTATGGATCAACATTCAAATTGATTGATGTTTTATTTTCAAATAATAACAATAATCTTCATTCTATTTTTTTAGTTTCCACAAGTCCTTTAAAAATATCTATTTTTTCACCACCAAAATTTTCTAAAATCAAACAACTTGCTATATCTCTTCAATCATTTGATGATTTTGTTCACTTGCTTCATATTTGTCCTGAACTTACATGTCTTAGTCTAATGCTTCAATCTTGGAATTCTATAAATATTCAAAATTTAGACAAGTAAGATTCTATTTCAATTAAATTTAAACTTATTTCATTTATGCAGTCAATCATCTATCGACACATCTACTACTCTTCGTAGTTTTTCTCTTCGAACAACATATGATCTGAATATTAGTTTAAATGAAGTAAAATATATACTTAAACATCTAACAACAAAACTTGAACATATTGCTATTGAAATTTATACTGAAGATATCGCTTGTCTTGACGGTGAACAATGGGAAAATTATTTAAAAGAAAATCTACCAAGCTTAACTCATTTTGAATTTTTAATTCTTTTAAGAAAAGACTATCCACATGGATCGAAACCATTACAAATACCAGATATCGTAAAAACCTTTCAAAGTGCATATTGGTCAAAAATTACACCTCAAAAGATAACTGGATATTATAATCGATGTTATTCTGGTGTATCTTTATGTATACATACGGAAATTATTCCAACAGTGAGACGACGACGTTACTTTTTATATTAATCTATATTTTATTTAAAAAAATATTTAAAAAAAAAAACAGAAGAACATAGTCATTTTTTTCCATAACGTGCACGATGATTTTGAAACCAAATACGAATTGATGATGAAGGTAAAAGTACTTGAACAGCAATTTGTTCTTGTTCATGTTGTGTCGGATATCGATTCTGTACATATATTTGATTTAAATACCAGATTTGCCAATCAGATAATTTTCGTCGTGTCTAAAATTAGGTAAAAGCAATTTATTCATCGTCAATCATATTTGAAATACATACCTTTCGTTCAGCACATTTCAACGAATGATGATATTCGTGTAATGGTGAAATGGAAGAATTGAATGAACTATAATCTGTATCATCTAAAATAAAGCGATAAAAATAATTACTTTTATATATATTCAAATAGTTTCAACTAAAAGACTGTCAATTCTACTTTACTTACTAAACAATTTCGAATCGATTATACAAGAGAGTAAACAATGTAACTTACCGTGCTTTTGACAAGGGATACAAGGAGACAAAATAGGAGTAAAAGATGATGCTAAGGATTCAATAGAATGAAAATTCACTCGTGGTTTGTATGTTGCATGTGGTGTACTTGTTGTTATCGAGACGAACTTTTGTGGTGAAGAACTACAATAGAAAAACGAATTTTTCTTATCTATTGTAATAAAATAGAGTTATTTGCTTACTAAGAAGTTATATTACAGGTGTCAATATCAGATAAATTCAATAAAATTTGTTCATCGTTAGCCAAATTCATGTTGAAATTATACTTTGTTCAGTTTTCCTTTCGATAAAGAGTTTGATAAGCAACAAACGTATATATATTATTCTCACTTATTTTTCTTGGCTAGTCATCAATCAATTAGTGATGATGCGATTATTTTTTTTTTCTTTTCCATACTGACGAATGTAAATCAATTACAATGATTTCAATTGAATGATTAGAATAATGTTGACATGAATATTACCTATTAGCTTACAAGTAGATTATTGAATTCTATCCAATTTACACATAAAACGTAATTTGTTGATTTAGAGAAACGCCATTATAATTGAAGACTGAGTCATAGTTTTCGTGTCTCACTATGATTGCAATTTAGAATTAATCTTTGATTGGAAAAGAAAATCTTGTTCATAATGAAACTGTATTGATATGATAAAAAAAGATTTGATTGCTTTGTTTAAAAACAATCTTTGAGTAGTTAAATGAATGGTGATTTCTCCTTGATATATTTGATGAAAAATAATTTTTTCAATGTCGATAAGATAAATTCAAGGTATCACCTGTTGATTAATTGTGATCACAAGTGTACTATTTTCTTATGTCGTATAATTGATTCGTTTCGTTCTTCAACAAATATTTTATTAGAGAAGGACAGAAAATATTGTTTTTTGCATGTCATTATAATATCTATTCGTTCTCTTTTTTTTCTTTTTTCGTTTCGTAACAATGTTAATAAAGAATATGACAAGTCGAGAAGAACGATCATTTGATCATGGGTAATGCAAAAAAAACAATATCAATAGAGACTTACTTATAAATACACACATCTATTTATAAAACAGGAGAGAAGCCTTATCATTACTATTTCAACAACAAAGATGATGAATGTATAATTGATGTGAGTTATTTCTTCGTATATTACATTGATTAAAATTGAAAGTACAAGACAACAATGGGTATTATTAATTCGACAGCAAAATATAATGATTCGAATACATCTAACATAAAATGCAATTATCGATTTCCAACAATTTGTAATGCTCGATCATCAGTATTATTATGTAAGAGAAAAACTAATTATATTGACTTTTGTGAATTTTACAATAAGCAACGTTTGTGTATGAAAAAAAAAGTTCTTATTTTGGGTTTGGATGGAGTAGGCAAAACAGATTTATTTACTCGATTAACATGTGATACTAGACAATCATCAAAGCTCAAATCTCTTCCTCAACCAACAATCGGTAAGATCGAAGGATAATAATCGATGACTTTTGGACTAAGGTTTTCTTCTTAGGATACAATGTTGAAACAATAAAACTTCATAGTCGTCATTTCTGCCATCGCCGTTGTCACAAAATTACATTATGGGATTGTGGTGGTCAATCTTCTCTTCGATCATTATGGTCTTATCATTTTTCAAATACTTCTCTTCTTCTTTGGTTAATTAATGCAAATGATCGTTCAAGATTAGATACTAATCTTCATTTACTTTCACAAATCCTTACAAATCGATTACTTTATCGAGTTCCAGTTCTTATTGTTGTATATCATAATGTTTTTGGTTCACAAGATGATAAAATATTCGACAAAAATAATAATGAAAATTTATTAACTAACCTAGAAGTAGCTTTTCATTTCTTAACTACACTTACAACTTCTCGTGCTAGTACATTCAAATGGCAAGTTATTAGTGTCAATTTGAATGATAATTCTGATGAAGATCTTAAAAAAATTCGACAATCGTTTAAAGAACTGATGGAATTATAAAAAAAAAATAATACAACAATATCTTTTGTTTTTAATCTGGTAAAGAACGAACTAATCGCCGATCATTATCATCATCATTATTATAGTCATTATTAGTTCCATCTCGATAATATATTGTTCTTCCGTGTAGACTACTATTCATAGAATAGTTATTAATATGAGGAATTGCCCATTCTTGATGCTAAAATGTTAAATATATGCGATATATAATTCTTAGTTTTATAGTGAAGGAGAACAATTTGAAAAAGTTACTTTAAGCCGATTAATTCGTGCTTGTTTAAAAAAAAGTTGTCTTAATTGTTGGTGTTGTTCTCGAACGGTTTGAATTCGTTTTCCTTCATCTTCAGCTTCTTTTAGAGCAGCAATTTCTTCGTATTCTTGATCTATCAAACAAGGAAAAAGTGAATAATTTTTTTTTTTGTTTGAATTCTAATCAACTTCTCAATGTTTTTTCTTGATTCGCTTTAACCATAGCAGTAGAGAATCTTGCTATAAAATGAATAATGATAATAAATTATCGAAATTTATTTATATATATATATATATTCAAATATACGTTTGTTTTTTCCATCATTGAATGGTCGACTTCTTGTACATTGTTTAATTTCTTTGCACACTAATGTTGATTCTACAGGTGGCATAAGTACGACTGAGTTCCAAAATTGTTTAGCCAATTTACTTTCATCATCTCGAGATCCATCAAATACAGTTAATGTTGGATTTTGTCGAGTATCGACTTCATATATTATTGGACTTGACAAATCTTTGAATTATAATAATTAAATATTGTGGTATCAACTTACATACAACTACTTACTCATTCTGCTATTTAAAAAACTACCATCCTTTAGATGGTTGTCATAGAGAGGACACGATTAAAGAAACATACGTAAGAAACAGCACGAAAACATTGAGCAACATTCGTTTTTCTTTCAGTTTCTACAGCCATCTATAGGGAGCTACTGAGACTTTCTTTTGGAATTAATTGGATCTCTTTAAAGTTCCGAAATATTTTTTTGTTCAATGTTCTATATTATAGAATCATGATGTGTTTTATATGCTTAATCTAGATACATCTTAATATAAGTTAATTTGTCGTTGGCTTAGTTTTTGCAATTGGATTTATTCTTAAAACGTTGTTATGTCGTAGAGTTTATCATGTAAACTTCTTAACATAAAATAATCCCTCAGCTGGTTATTTTTCTGCTGGCCAATCTATTCTAGATACATATGTTTCTATTGGCATGCTCTTCCGTCGAACTCCTTAATTTGAATTGATTTCTCAGTGGATCAATTTATATGGATAATCACTGTTCTAAAAATTTTTACAACTAACTAACAACATTGAACGGTTCTACGGTTAAAGCCATGACTTCTCAGTTCATACATTCAGGGTTTGAATTCTTATTCAGTTCACTCATTTTTGTTACTCAGGACTGTCTTTTGATCAACATGTCATAAAAAGATCTCTATTATCGTGCCTATTAAAATGCCTGCTACATTATACGAAATAACTAATTCTACCGGATCTATTCTGAATATAGTATTTTTTCAGTAGGTTTATCATATAAATCTTTCACATTCCCAGGCTAAATTCCGAACAAGAACAGATACCAGGATTAAATTTATAAAATCTTGAAAAAACGTAAGTCTTGACAACTATTGCCATCTATGGGAACATAAAACATTAGAAATGATTTCATTATTCTGAATTTGACCATGCCATGTTAATATTCAGCACAAAGAGAAATTGTAATATGTGATTCAATCATTACCGTCTCGTCTCTGTTATTCTTTATACAGATTGTTGTTGTGTTATAAATCTAAATGAAATAAAGATTATATTAATTCGAAGCAGAGTCTCTGCTGTTCAGTGAATAAAGACTAAAATTATTTAATTTATCATCCATTACATTATTCTAAATTTAATATAATTGAAGATGTTTGACATTCCGTAAAAGAAACAGTCAGAAAAGTACAATTAATCTGTCAAACGAAATTACTAACGACAGCTCATTAAGCATCATATTTCACATACCCAGAGAAGAAACGATAAAGCAGCTAAAAGATCGATATGTAATTATAAAGTAAAAAGAACAAATTCTCATTTGAATAAATCATTAATTATATTAGTCAAATATTAGATATACAAAATTAGACCGTACATTATTTTAAACGAGAAATAAAGAAATCGAACAACATGTCACATTGACAAGTAAATATTGTTTATCAATATACTGTTCCCACAGATATTATCCAGACTCAACATATGTTCTATTTTCAGAACATTTCTGGAAGATATTCTGATAAATAGTTAACTTTTCTTGTATGCTTTTTTCTAGACAGAAAGAGAAAGAATATTTCTCTATATTGTACCATTGTATCTTCCAGTTAATCCATTTCGATTATTGTCAAAGTATGCTGGTCTTGTCACCCTTTTGGTCATTAATATTCTTAATTTTTATTGGTATCATAGCTGATAGTCAAACTCAATTTATTGAAAGGATTAAAAACAAAATAAGAAAAGTAATAGCCGGAAATGTAGGTACTACAAAGAAGAGTTATAGTTATGAAGAAATGATTCTATTTCCTAATACTGGATTTCAACGTAAAGATGGTAATTGGCGGTTAAATGTGTATGGTTGGCGTTTTAANCGTATGTACTCGACAATCGGATTAAAATGGATAATATATATGAAACCTTTGTGCGCAGAACGAAAGACAAAGAACAATAATTGTATGTTGAATTATTAATAAATCATTTTATAATCTAGTTTTAACTCAAGAAGGTGATGATGATGTTACTAACGTATGACATACTGAAAATGTGCGAAAAATATTTAAAAAACTAGTACTGTATCGCAAACCATCTCGCTCTCCTTGACTTTTCTCTCCTTGTTCTTATCTCTCCTGGTTGTGTATATAAACGTGTGCTTTTGATGGAAATGATACGATTAAGGATACGACGAAGCCAAATAAAGCATAACTCCATCAGCGCTAACAACTCTTCTATCTAAAACTGCCACACATATGACCTTCCGATTCACTGAATTTCATTGATATGATAATGAATAATAGATATTCACTTATCGTCGATATATCATTGAATTCTGATTATTAGATCTCATCTATTTTTCAAATATCGATGCATTAAATTTCTATTGGATTCAAATTAATATGTAAACAACTGGAACTTCATCCATTTTTACTGTATAGCATATATGTATATATATATATATAGAATTAGCTTATAGAATTTCCAAACTTTTCATTTCTCTAGACTTTTGGTTGATATACGTGGGAATTTTGAAGGAATATCGACTCTATCAGAAAACATAACTACCTGACGATTGTATTCACTATGTTACTTGCGCTAAATTACGTCGAAGTATCAATTGAATGACTAACAAGTTGATGTTTATATGTATCCAAATTTTAGAATAATGTTTTAGAAATGGAGAAAACTTTATTTATTTAGACAAATATTTTCAGTTACTGGGAACTAAACATATCTGTTTTCGAAAAATAAATGAGAACTATTCGCTGGAGTTCTATAAAGATATCAACAAAAAAAAACGACAGTGCATCTTACTCTTATTTATTTATTGTTTTTTCAACTTTTTTTCTGTACTCCTTGCAAACAGTTGAGGCTCTGTAGATTGCTTCTGGATAATGTGTTTGATGTGTAACTGAAAACTATTCTATCAAAATCTTCTCAAATCTTGCTATTACTTCTAAAAGCTCGATTATTCTAAACACTTATGAAAAAATGTGATGTTGCTTATAAAATTTTGAACCATAATAATATTTTTGACTAATAGAAGAAGAATACAAGATTATCTGTTAGCATTCAAAATGAGCTCAGTAATGAAGTAGTTTGATTTTTAAGAAGACTCTAGCATACCACCACCTATGCTGGTCCGCGATGAACTTTTTTAGCTTAAATCAAAGAGCATGGCGGAAAACTTCTATGTTGCAAATGTAAGATTTAAAAGGCTTTCAGAAACTAGATTTATTGTTTTTTAAAAGACATGACTTTACAAGATTAGAGACCAATTACTACAACTTATTATAAGAACCATTGTTATAATCTATTCTATCGAGAACTATTTTCTTCGTCCTTCGTTACTTTGTCTGACTCACGGGCGCAGTCAGGGGCAGAAAAAAAATCTTAAAACAAAACGATCAACATAAAATAAAAGTCTTTTTAAAAAATTTTATGGCCTAATTTTAAAAAAACTAGAAGAATGTGATCTTCACTGTTTTCAAAAGTACATCATAAAATCTAATATTTTGGATACATAAGTTTCATGATATGATCTCTCATTGAAGCTAAATATTCAAAAAAATGAATGCTGGACAGTTCTGTGTAAGGTTGGTTGGTCTTCTGATGAGCTTTCTCTTAAGAATGAAAAAGTAAGTTCATGACAAAAAACTGAGAGAACAAATATTATAGATAAAAAAAAAGTAATACATATATAAATAGAAAAAAGTAAAATCGCGAAGATGAAAACTACGAGATAACAATAGCAAAAAGAAAAGCAATAGTGCCTAATAAGGGAAGAGCAGAATAACGAAAGAATGAAGAAGCAAAATAAAATGGAATAGCGAAAGTATAAAATCGAGAACTGTAGATCAGTGCAACACGAAGATACGGAGGGGAAAATGACGAAAGAAAAAATATAGAAAACTAAAGTTATAAGAAAATAGAAAGAAAAAGAAACGCAAGATTTAATTGATTTCAGTAACTCTTTCTAATTGAGTTATGACATTCATTGTGTGTACTTATCTCATCAATCTGTCGCTAATTGAATGGATAAATAAATGTGTTATCTGGATTTATTCTATCTTTCATTTCCTCTCTAACTTTTTTTCTCTCTTTCGTCCTTTTATTCGTTAACTATGATTTTCTCCATCTCGCCTTGTATGACGTTATTTTTCTTTTTCTTTTTTCTTCTTGCTGAAATGATTAAGATTAAGCACTAAGTAAGGGGGTCATT